GCAATTGAAATATAAATATAATTACTTGCATTACGCAGACGATCTGAAATCGATAAGCCGGCGCTTCCAGCCTTCCGGAAACATTGGCTGCCACGGCTGAAACGCTAGGCGTGCCCACGCCGCCGATCTGTACGTTCAGTATCAAACGGGCTCCGGAGAGCCGTTTGATTAAACCGGTGCAGTTTGCTACATGGTCACCGGTTTGAGCAAACGTGCGACAACTTTGCCCAAACGAGTCGCCCATTTGCCCAGACGGGCGACCCATTTGCCCAGACGAGCGACCCGTTTGCCAAAGAAGTGACCCGTTTGTCCAAATAGGTGACCGTTATGGCTCATACGGGGGACCCCTTTGAGCCATACGGGCGACCTTTTTGACAAACTGGTGACCGGTATGGTTAAACTGTTACCGGTATGGACCCGTTTGTTTTCATATAGGTGCCAAATGGTTTTTTTCAGTAGGGATCCGTAAGTGATGACGTCACAACATGGCGCTGTGCTCCAAACAAACCGTTGCTAGGGCCGTTGCTAAGGACAAATACAGGGGTGCTTGACGTGAAGTTAAAATTTGTCTAATAATTTTTTGTTGTTGTAATTTTTCGTGTTTTCTCAATATTTAACCATTAAACGGGCACTCAAGTAGATTCTGATATCGTCTATTTATTGTCATAACTCAATCTACGGGCTCTAAGCATTCAAAAAATCCCAAAATTACATTCAAGGGCAGCCGATTTCTCTATTAAAAATCCAATCAAAGATCTTGCCACGCCCCCCTTTCTGCGGCGTGGCGCAGAACACCAGGGGGCGCCGTCGGACGGGAAGACATAGGGTGCCTAGCGCTCGTGTGTATGAAGGCACTCTAGGAAGACATAGGGTGCCTAGATGTCTGTCTGTCTCAGGGTGAAGACATCCATTGTTGTCCGGAATGTGCCAGCGCGTGACGCTCTCGCGCACTCGGTGCGTGACTTGGGCGGTAAGATGGCGTCTATGCATCAGCCAAAGCTACGCGCTCGAGCTGAGCGACACCGGATTGCGCGCACTTCAAAATGCATAAAAAAAACGATTGGGCGGAAAAATGGCTGAGATGTCACCACTCAAGCAAAAGCGCGCGTGTGTATGAAGGCACTCTAGGAAGACAGAGTTCCATTTAGCCCCGGCGAGTGGCCGTAGCGCCGGCTTTCCTGCACAGCCCCAGATGCTTTGCTCGTCACGTGACTGAATTCGGCGAATAGCGGGGCCGAGCGCGTCGCCGCGCATGGAAAACAGAAAAGGAGGAGAAGGAGGCGAAAGCAGTGGAACATGCGCCGGTGAGCGTGCAACGTCGGCGAAGCACGCGTAGCGGTGACTTTCCTGCATGGCGATGGATGCTTTTCTCCTCACGTGATCGATCTCGGCGAATAGCGGCGTGGCGGCGCGGCGAAAACAAATGCGCAACTCTGCTCCCCCGGAAGGGGAGCATACCGAGGAACTCTAGGAAGGCAGCAGGGGAGGGCAAGCGAAAGCCAATCACGAGTGACGGCTTCCCGGCGGCCGCCTAGTGTCTCCCCTGCTCTTTATGATATACCTTAGTGAAATGGAAAAAAAAAAAAAAAGTATTAGAGCAGTACAATTTAGGATTTGATCTGACTTACATGAAGGGAGGGAAAAAAGTAAATCAAGTTTTACCAGGGCTGATGTATGCAGGTGACATTGTACTTGTAGCAGAGGGTGGAGAGACAATGCAGGGACTAATTATGATTTGTGGCGGGATACTTTACGCCTAAACTTCAGTAGGGACAAGTATGCGATACTAGTTCATAACGACGCGAAGGGGGAGCCTCTGGAGATGCAAGACACTGCGATAGAACATGTAGAAAAGCACAAATATTTGGGTGTATGGTTAAATGAGGGAAGAAAATATCTGAATGAACATGGAGTAAACTGCAATAAAGAGGCAAATAAATTCGGCTATTATAAAACACAAAGCACTGTGGAACTTTAATAAATACGAATTTGTGAGGGGGTATGAGAAGGAGTAATGGTACCGTGGTTGACTTTCAGTAATGCAGTCTTGTGTATGAAATCTTACGAGCAGTAAAGCTTAGAGATAAGGCAAAGGAGTGTAGGCAGGTTAGCTTTAGGGGCACATGGTAACATACCAAATGACAGGGTACAGGGGGATATGGGTAGGGCATCCTTTGAGAGCAGAGAGGCAACAGGTTAAGCTTGACCAATGGCTAACTGATATGGAGCAGATGAGGTGGGCAGCTAAAGCAGCGTTGGATAAAGTACATCCAAAAAGGTACTTCAAGTAAAGCACAAAGTAAATTAGACGTGATGAACTTCAAGTAAAGTAGTAAGTACACTGGGTGCAATGTACTTGAAGACAAGTACTATAAATACAATCTACTTTCAAAGTAAAGTACAAATATTTTAACACAATCGCTTATGATGCTTTTTAACTCCCCTATACAGTGATTTTTTAACTGGTATGGACTGCCCAGTGGTAATCACGGCTGCATAACCTATCTTCAAATACAGCGTCAAATATTTCCTAAAGTGGCTACAGAGTAGTTATTTTCAGGAATTGAGCCCAATTCCTGAAAATCGCTGTATAGTGATTTTCTTGCACGGGATTGTTGCACCCATGGGGTTAAATCTTCTAGGAGAGAGCATGACGTCAGCCCTGTACAGCTTCCCCAAGCAATCCTCTCATAAAAAAAATGTACTCTCCTTAATAAAAAAAAAGTGAGTGTGGAAGCGACCTGGTGGTAATTAATTATAATGTGACATATGAAATTGGGGTGTGAAAAAATTAAGGAACTTTCAAGTCGAAGGAAAAGACTCTTTTGTCTTTTCCTTCGATTTAAAAGTTTAATTTTTCCGCACCACAGTCTCAGGTGCTACATAATGATTAATGTTGCTCGCCTAATATTTTAAACCTCCTCCCTTGCGCTGATCTACCGAGAACTAGCGATAGTTCAAAAAGCTATGGGTAAGTCGCACCCAGAACAAACGGGGCGATGCGTCGTCTGGTCACGTTTCTGTTGAGAGCAGAATATCCCTCCAAGTATTTCTTCGGAGTTGACAAAGCATCATTTCGTGATAAAAATTTAACAAAACAAAATTCGGGGAATGTGCTTTGAAGTCGGGAACTGTACTTTCCTTGGAAAGTACCAGAGAAAGATACTTTAAGTATAGAGTAACAAGTACATACTCAGATAATGTACTTCAAGCAGTGGCGTACCAACTTGTTCTTGAATGGGGGTAGGGGGCAAACCGGACCCCCTCCCCTCCCTCCCCCCTCCCCTCCCCTCCCTCTCTCCCTCCCCCCCCCCCCCCCCCCCCCCCCTGGCCAGGGCTGGGGGGCGGTGCCCTTGATATGCCTTGAGCGCCGCTGTCCAATGTTTGCGCTTCCCAGTGGCGGCTGTTTCAGGGGGAAGGGGGGGGGGGGGGGGGGGAGCGGCAAACCACATACCTTGCCCTTCCACTCTGAGAGCTGGGGGAACGAACGCCCCCCTCCGGTTGGTACGCCCATGACTTCAAGTAAAGTACAAGTTTCCTAAACCTACTTGAAGTAGTACTTTAAGTACAATGTACTTCAAGTACTTCCCAACACTGAGCTAAAGTATATAAGTTCCTATATATGAAAAGCTTCAACACAAATTGAACGAAACGGACTCGAAAGCTCGGAAACAAACTTTTGCAGGCGGGCAGTGAAATGGAGTCAGTGGAAAACAAGAGAGAGAGAGAGAGAGAGAGAGAGAGAGAGAGAGACGTGGAAATCAGCTTTAGCTATGTATAGGTTACAAAAGCATGAATTAAGGAGAGCAATTTTGTTTGATAATTCTCGGGGGAGCTCTTTACTGTTTGAGGCCAGAACTGGGTACTGAGAACGAAGACTTATAGAGCAAAATTAGAAGGTATAGATACGGTTTGTTGCATATATGTGGAATGGAAAGCGAAACTACGGAACACCAGTCTGTTCTCCCCTCCCTGAGGGGAGAACAGACGTAGAGGGGGAACTGTAGCAAAATGATTTGATGGCCTAGTTGGTTAAACATTACGAAAATTAAAAAGCGCAAAAGACAAGGACAAGAGGGAGACAACACAGGACAAGCGCTTATCCTCTTGGCGTGATGCGTTGAAGGTCTTCCGCAGCCGAACAGTCCGTTGATGTCTTGGGGAACCACATGGTGTCGGATGGCCCTGGATTTCGGTGGAGAAAATGGAAGGATTGAGGTAACGAAAAGGGGAGGGGAGGCATTGGTGGAAGGAGACAAGGGAAAACTAAAATTGGTAAAAACCATTTAGCACAACTGGAGACAGGAAGGACAGAGGAAAATCGGGACTCCCTTCCGCGTGGCTCCGGCCCAAAGTCTCAACCCTGTCTTTCAGTGGGTCTAGGTTTGAACCCCAACAAGGTTGACCACAGGAAAATTGGTGACTCCATTGCCGGGAGGAGAGGGCGGGGGTGCGTTTTCTTTTTATTTTGTATTTGCTCAATACCTGGTGGTTCATTCCTCCGGCCCGCTCATAGTTGCAGGGATGTGGAGGGAAAGAAATTGGGTATTTAAGTGAAGAAAGAAAGCATTTTGTCGGGCTAGGTGGCGCAAGCTACCATCTGTTACAAAGGACACAGTCCAATCATTCATCTATCTTTAAAGTAGGTAGTATCTTGCGCTATCTAGTGGTATAAAAAGACAACCTCTTTCATACTTTTCGTACTTTCCAGCTTTTAGAAAGAATTTGCTTTTATGTAGTTCTATTTATTTGTTCTTTGGAGCATAAACTAAAACAAATATTAAATTGAAAAATCATTTATTTTGTGATTTTACGATTGCATCTTTTTTTAACTTCTTTTCACTCTTGTACCCACCTGACTCTACCTCTGTAACTGCAACGCTGCAACTTTCGAATAAACTGACGTCATGTATAATTTCTTTACAAAAAAGAGTAACTGCTTATCACTCTTCAAGTAAAGCGTTGGATAAACGAATAGGCTCAAAAAGGCTCCACGCGTCATCAACGTCACCGACGTCTCTCCGGTCGCAAACATGGCAGGCAGCAAGAAGCTCACCAAGGAAGAGGAGCTTTTGCTTCAAGATTTCAGCCGAAATGTGTCGACAAAGTCGTCCGCACTCTTTTACGGAAACGCTTTCATCGTCTCCGCCATCCCCATTTGTGAGTTCCTCCTACTAGACTCCTAACAGCCGAAATAACGGTTTGATGCGGCCCAGCCACATGTGCTTTGCCGGAGGCCAACCACCGATTATGCGGCATTCGCTGATTTCAGGGCTGTTCTGGAGGATCCACCAGATGGATTTGTACCAGTCGGCCATCGTCTTCGCTGTGATGACCCTGCTGTGCACCTGGCTCATCGCATTCGCTTACAAGAGCGTCAAGTTCGTGCTCAAGCACAAGTGAGTCGGAACCCGGCAAGCCAGCGTTGTCCCCGATAATCTATCGACACAAAAGAAACACGTCGGTTTAAATCTAAAAGGTTGTCTATCGGCCCCGTATAACGAGATTTGAATATTCATGTTTTAGTCATCGTTGATAAACTAGTCAACATTTTCCAGTGACCTTATTCTCTGGGCTGCCTCTCCTGAACGGCATTTTAATGACGATAATAATCCCTGGAGAAGGGGAACAAGAGGGACAAAGGGCAAACACAAATCTCCAAACACAGCTGGGTGACTGGTGCGCGACTGAAAAAATGCGCCTTGTCCAGCTCGCTTGCACCTTTGCATTATAGGCATTTTAATGCTCGTCAGAAAACCGGTCCTTTCTCGTGTTTGTCTTGCTGATTTATTTCTACGCCGATTTAGCGTTTACAGGTAGAGCGGCTTTATATTCCAGCGTTTTCAGTGAATTGCAAATGCATAACATTCCTGACTTTATTGGTCTTGAAATTTTTAGGGTGGCTCCCAAGCGAGAGGACGCCGTCAGCCGTGAGATCATGAAGAAGCTCTCGGATGACAAGAAGATGTCCAAGAAAGAGAAGGATGAGAGGTACGTTTGGGTCATGTTGCCTGAGCTCACACTTCAATTTCCACTCCTGGCCGGCCTCGATGGTGATGGTCATCGTTGTACTAGCGTGCATTCATGTTATCGTTAGCGTGTAGTGGTCGTTACAAGCCCCAGGTTTGTGGACGTACTGCACCGATCACATTGCCCCAATGGACTGGGGAGTGTAAATGTTACAGGCTAGATAGCACAAGCTGCCATCACTATCCATTGAGACACAAGTAGCCACATTTAAAGGGGCCCTGCAATCATATTTAAGTGTCTACCTTTTTTGCGGTTTCCACGTCCCTCTGGGTTCGGGCAAGCCAGCGGGCACGGAGAGAGTAGCTAAATATCAGTGCGTCATATTTTAATCGGACGACGCGGAAACCTCCTCCACCGACGATGGCGACCCGCGGTACCGAAAGCGCGCAAAATGTGACGTCTTTGGTCCTGGGCTTACTACTGGTCGGAGCCGCTAAAAGCTTTTTTTTTTAGTCGAAATACAAAATATAAGTGGCGTGAACCGTTTCAATTATTTATAAAAGTAGTTTTTGTTCAGTATTTTAGATCAGAAAAGAAATAAATGCAGTTTAGAAAGTACGGAAACGAGAAATGACCCGTCGACATATCTGCCACCAAGCGGTGGAAAAAGCGGCGCATACTAGAAGGAGTAGTAAGATCAGGGGCTGACACGGAAAGGTCCCGGATGTATGCGGCGGCGCTGCGGTTGTATGGACAGGAGGATCAGACTGGCTCCGAGTGTTCCCAAGGCCTTCGGCGAGAAGCTTTGTCTTGCAGTTTGGCCGTTCCGCGGTATGGCAGCGCGAAGTGGCTCCCATTCCGAACTGATCTTTACCCCGTGTTTCCTGTCGTTTGTGGCCAATGAAATGTCATGCCGAATTAGTGTTCAATCGCGCAGCAAATGCAATGAGAGCCGCTTTGGCTTCCCGCTGCATACATCCTATTCAGAACATGCTTTGGTGGCGCCCTCTCGCACTGTCGACACAAGGTGTGGCAGTCGTGTGCGCTCGAGGAGCTCACTACCCCTCCTCTAGTTCACGGCCACTCAAGCAACCAAGGACGTCATAAGGGAGGTTATTCTTTCCTTATTTTTGCAACTTTAATTTGCCTAGAACTTTTAAAATAAAGCAAATTTCGAGAAAAGAAAAGTTTCGCTAAGTTACTACGTTCAGTGCGCTCAGGTTCGGTGCAAATTAAAAACCAGTAAAAAAGTCCTTGCAGGGCCCTTTTAAGGCGATCCTTTTTATGATGGACCGCTGTGCATGCTAGTGCATGCTACGAGCCATTGGAACCTTTCTATTATCATGCGAGTCTGACGCGAATTTTTGGAGAGGCACAGCGAAGTGCAGGTCGTATACATATACTCGCAAGATACATTTACAGCGTTAGATTGGCTGGAATGGCTCGTAGCGTCCGCTGCGGCCCATCATAAGGTGAAGCAGGGTATAGACCAGGGGTGGCCAGGCTGACCTGGCCTAAGAGCTGCAAACAACCACAAAATTTTCAAGAGCCACGGGGGCGGAAGGCAAACGTTTGTCCAGAGCAATAAACAAAACTCAAACTATTTTTAATCTATCCGAGTCAAAAGCAGTCCAACTGTACGTAAGGTAGCAGTAGCACATGACTACCAAACTGCAACCTGTCTTTCGATTTAAAATGCGTTCCATTTCTCTTTTTGGGGAAGTGCTCGTGTGACCGGGAGGGAGGAGGGGGGGGGGGGGGGAGGGTGAGGAAGGGAACTGTGAGTCTCACTTTAACACGTGAAGAGCCGCAGCTTGGCCACCCCTGGTATAGACTAACACGCGAGTGTGACATCGTGTCGCTGCGGTGGCCATGCGGCCGGAACGGTGCATGCGCAGACGCTTCACTTCATGCTAATCTGGTTTCTGCACATGCAGAAACCAGATTACATGCGGGCTTGCATGTAAACAGCGTGTTGGTGTATGCACCGACACAGTTTACAAACAGGCCTGTGTTTGCCCACGCCGCATGTGAGCACTGCGCATTCGTAGAGACCAGATTCGCTCGAGGCGAAGCTTCTGGACATGTTCAGTGCTAGCAGCAGTACCATTGCAGTGGCGTAATGTCAGAGAGTTGAGCTGGTCTATGGTGTCTAGCTTCGCAAATGTACAGACAACCAATTTGGCCCTACGTTTGGGCATGGCCCGACGGAAATGTTTGAAATGGGACTGGTACCAAGTTGCCTGCTTGTGCAGGATACTGTGGAAGAAGAATGAAGTTGCAGACTACGAGGCGACCACATTCTCCATCTTCTACAACAACGCCTTGTTCCTGACGCTCATCATCGTGACGTCCTTCTACATACTGAGGGCGTTCAGCCCCATGGTGTATCCTTTTGACTCTTGCTACGTTGCAGACATATCCATACTGGGTGATCCATTGGAATCCAATGGGTGGATTTAATCAATGCGGGGCTTTTGGAGCAAGCCCTTCTTTGTTTGGGATGAGCGAGAAATATTTCGGTGTCCGCTTTCTGCAATATTTCTATTTTGCTCGTAGCATGTAAAGCACGCCATTCCGTCTGTGTTCAGAACCTGTTATTGTTAACCCTTCTGACAGTCGCCGCCGTACATTGTACATCGGAATGTCCCCGCCTAAATGCAAAACTGTGTTCACCCCGTTGCTGCCTGCAGTGTCTTTGAAAAATTATATTTGGTGGGTCGTTTATAACGAAAAATAGAGCCACCAGGCTCGAAATACAAACGTGCGATTGTCATTTACGGATATTGTGGATCGTATTTAACCTATTTTTGAACACGACGGGAATATTTCAAATTTCGTTGAAGTATCCCTTTTAAAGGGGTAATGAAACGCTTTTCCAACTTTTTCCTGTTTAGCTTTCCTCCTCAACTCATAAATCGCACATTCTACCAAACAGTTCAAGAAGACAGAAAGGGGGGAGTCCCCTCTTGCTCGCACTCTCGTTTGTGTACCTGGACACAGCCATTCTCCCCCTAGAAGATTAGCCGGTCGCTCAAAACTCAGACAAAAGTTGCTTTCCCCGCGCCGTCCACCCCGAAGCTCACAGTGCTGTGGAAGCTACGTGCTCGTTGGGTCAGCCACACTTTTGCCACGTGACCACACTCTCGCGCATACCGACGCACAGAGAATGAGGTCAGGTAGTAAAAGGGAGGCAGCTGATTGGTCCGGCAAGCGCGTAGCTTCCACCACAATGTCAGTTTAGGGGTGAAGGGAATAAGTGAGGTCTGGTGTCGTGCGACGTGCATTTGGACCCAATGACGCGCTTTGGGGACCACGCAGAGAGCAGAGCAGCAGAGAAGGCAGAGAGCTTACGAAGGGAAGGAGGTACGAAATAGTACGCTGTGTTTTCAAATTTTGGTACCGAAAGTCGGGCTTTTGACTTTCTCTTTTGGCCCACTGAATGATGTGCTATTAGTGAACTCCCTATCTAAATTGATTTATCCCAGCCTAAAATTCGTTCCATGGGCCCTTTAAGACACAGTAGCGTTTGACTCTTGTCTTGAGTTACGAACACGAATCACCACGAACGGGAGAGAGAGATATAGAGATAATAGGTGTTTCATACAAAGCATGACATCCCGACAACCAATCTTAGTAACTTCATCTGTGTCACCATGCTCCTATATCGACAAGCGATGTACAAAGCGGAATGACTCGCTGCTGTAACTCGTAACATAGTCTAATGCAACCGTGTGAAAGGGATAAATGGGACACGCATACATAGTCTAATGCAACCGTGTGAAAGGGATAAATGGGACACGACCGCTTCCCAACTCGAACCTTTGGGCTTGTCTCATGTATGCTACTTGGGGAGTTGTCTATTATTGAGCACGTGGCTGTCAGTGCTCATTGGGCCTGTCCAACTTCAGATGTCCCATTTATAGCAGTGCCCGATTGGGACGTTTCTCTGTGCTCCCAGAAAGGGTCCGAAACAAAAAGGAAGATTGGCTCTCATATACCAAGCAAACTACCAGGAAAAGTTTCCTTTGCAGCCTAGCCATGACACAGAGACAGGGCTGTTGAACGTGGAACTATGCTGTGTCATAGGCAGACAGCCAGCTGGTGCAACAGTGAATTCCATGAACATGGTTCCATGCTGTTATCTTGACTAATAAGTCACTTATGCGCAAGCACAACTCCACCAAATTATGTTAGCTTTCAGAACCACGCGTGTATTGTAAACAGTTCCTAAAGCTGTGTGCTTGAAAATGTGGCTCCCGTAGTGATGCACAAAGCTTGACAAGTTTTGTTGATAAGTTTTCTGCAGCGTTATGGGTTAGGAGCAATTCTGAAACTAAATTCTATTTTGCGGTAGACCTCCTAAAATAGAATTTAGTTTCAGCTTTGGAATTTCTCCCAACTTATGCTACAGATTAATTTTCATGGTGTAAATATTGTGCTACAGATTAATGTTGTGACATGTACCGTATTCAAGAAAACAATTTTTTGGGGGAGTTTAGTATTCCTTTCAGTAACTAAGAGGCCATAAAAGGTGCAGCAGCTCGTGTCCAAGCTCCCACTTTGTAGCCACGAATTGCAATACTGTTGTTTTTATGCTATTCCCATTTGTGTGAATGGTCTGAATTGATCTATGGGTCCATCTTTCACTTATGTTACAGACATTCAGATAAAAAAAATGATTAAAGGCATCGAAAGCTATAGAAGTATACTGGTACCACAGAAGGTACTGAATGTGCTACTATATACTATCCTTGACCGATTGCGTGCAGCAACTATGTGTTCTCCGTGGGCGGCGCTGCAGGTCTGCTGGCACTCTTCTCCACTGGCTCCCAGTGAAGAACCATCCCTTCTTTTTTTTTTCTTTCTGCACTTAATAAAGGGGAACTTTTTTCTAAGACTGTTTCTCTGCCTTTGATAATAGAAGAAATTGCAGTCTGAAAGTGTTGAGTCTAGCATGTCAGACTTGCATTATAGTTTAGACGCAGCCGTTGTCATTATTCCATTTCACCCTTTGAGGAAGCGTCTAATCGACATGCTCAAAGGCTGGAGGTGGTTAAATACAACCCTCGTGAAGGACTTGAAAAGGTATCCTATATTTTGCCGCAAAAATTTACATGTCAGTCTAATGCATGTTGGCATTGATTGCTGTCTCAAAGAGTTCCAGAAAATATCCAGCACTGGCTTTCACTGTCCTTTCTTGCAGATAATATTGATGGTCAACTGAAGTTCAAGGAGGCTTGCTTGTTTTAGTGTAGAAAGCACTGCTCAATTTGTCTTGGTGAACTTGGACTGCCATCCAAAGTATGAATGTGAAGAAATCTGCTCACGGCTGCCACCAACTCGAGTATCTAGTTCGATGTAGTACAACTCAAACTTGTACAAGTTAACCACGACAAAGTGGCATGGTCGTGCAAGAACCCCGTCACGCAGCATACCATGTAAAGGGGCTGTGCGTTGTGGGAATTGCATTGTTGGCATTGCCAACAATGCAATTCCCACAATGCACAAAAACCTTGGGATTCCATTGTTGGCATTGCCAACAATGCAATCCCAAGGTTTTTGTCATCAAACTTTGAAATTCTCACAGTAACTATATTTAAATGTGGCTCATGCTGTGGGCACGAGCAGTGCGTGAGCATAATTTGGGCTCGTGACAATTACTGCCTCGACATGAATTCAGGTAGTGGCTTGTGCCCAATCGTTGCAACGATACGAAAAGCCAAACCTTAACAATATGTGGCACTCGGTGTGTGTATCCTGCCTTGCCAATCGTAACGCATGGCTAAGATACATTCACAGCATATAACCGGCACCCGATCACGTGGCCGCTTGTAATGGCTGCGAGCAGAGGGGGTGAATACTGATTGTTTATATTGAAAAATTTCCAAGACTCGCTGTCTGAAGAAAAAAAACTAATGGCGTTTCATAGGTTTTGGATGTAAAGGAATAATACAATTCTGGTGCAGTGTTGGCACTCTGATGCACGCCTTACCTTCCTTACGCACATAAAGCAGTACTAACCCAGTACTGAATCTGTGCCGTTACTAGCTCACTGTCACCATCATCTACATGCAGAGGTGCATACATGTGTAACTGGCCTTTAGATCCTTTCAGTGAAATACCCAAAAATACTTGCACTGCAGTGTTTATACATTCTTTTGTCCTGTACATGAAATATTGTGAAGCACATCACAAATCCACCAGATTTTGTAAGAACTGGAGACCCTTATTGAACATTTGGTTTAAGGATTCCTTTAGGTTAGGAAACAAATGGTGACGTACAAAAAATTGAGGGCAGAAGCTTCCTTGCACAAACTTTAGGGGAAAAGATAGCCACAATGGGCACAAAACCTTGGTTTTGGGAGCCCAGTCTCAGTCACCACAGCCCAACAGAGTCAGCGGGACCTAGCTTTGCTGCACCAAGTAACGATGGCATTTGCTAACTTCACTATGACCGCCTAGCTTCATACTCAAAAACTTACTAACTGGGAATTTGAAAAATGGTGGATTCTCCCGATCCCTTAACTTGAAATTAGTGAGAGAGATTTTAGGATTTTTAACAGCATTCCAGTAGGCTAACTAGACTAGTCACCTCATGTACCCATTCAGGGTGTTTACTATAAATTGCTTGACTCAAATTTCCAGACCTTTCTAGGTTTCTCCTAAAAATTTCAAATACATTCATCGCTCATTACAAAAGAAAAAAATGCAGAGGATGGGGTTGCAGCAGCTGTTCGGGCTATTCCTATTTTACCCGGTGAATCGGGTGGCGGTTGCACCATGCGGTTATGACTCGGACAAAGGTCACTCGGTGCAAAGGCCATTCACACCATGTACGCCACAACCTCCACCTTAGTTGCGTGTCCCTGTGCTGCTCAGATTGGTCACTTTCCCCGACTTAACTTTCTGGTGATTTCCCCGACAATTCCAAGTTTTCCTGGCTGGTAGACAGCCTACCATTGTTTAAAGGGGCCACAAAACGATTTTTCAACTTCTTACTTCTTAGCTTTTCTCCTCAACTTGCACACCGTGCAGCGTTATCAGAGATCAAAAGGAGGGAAAGGAAGAACTCCCCTCTTGCTCGGAACCTCGTTGGTGCACCCGGACATCGCCATTATCTCCCTAGAAGGTTAGCCCGTCACTCAAAATTCGGACAAAAGTTGCTTCCCTTCCCCTACCACCCATGGAAGCTACAAGCGATCATGCTCCCTTGCAGATACCAACGCGCAGTGAACGGGGTCAGGTGATCAAAGGGAGGTGGCCGATTGGTCCGGCAAGCACGTAGCTCCCACCACACTAACGGAATGTAGCAAGGTCAGGTGTCATGCTTTGGGTACGGCAGATGTATCACAGTGAAAAGGCGAAGAGCTGTCAAAGGAAAGGAGGTACGAAATAGTCTGCTGTTTTCAAATTGTTGCACCAAAAAGCAGAAGTTGGACTTTCTACCTTCTTTCTTTTGGCCCATTAAACAATATGCTATTAGGTAGTGAAGTCCCAATCTAAATTCATTTATCCCAGCCCAAAAGTCATTTCATGGCCCCTTCGAGGGGCCAAGACCAATCATATATCTTTAAGAAAAAAAAATGTTTTTCACACTGAAAAAAAAAAAAAAAATTATGCATAGCCAAACTAGTGACCTAGAAAGGGGTAGTGGGCTCACCGCGCCCGCTTGCTGAGGCGGGTCATGCCTAAAATGAGATTGCGCTCCGGTCGACTCCTCCTGCAGCTTTCCCGCGCCCTTCTGCGATCACATGCGTATGAGTGCACGTGTGCGTCAGTGTTTCCTTCGTCAGATAACTGGGAAGATTCAGAAGAATCGGAGGAACTGTGTCAACCGAAAGCATTGGTAAGGTGTACGAGAATGGGGTGTACCCCAGCATTGGTTTCCCACGCGTTCAGCGTGGGAGACAATGCTACTGTGTCCCGAGCCCCCTCCCGTTCTTTCTCCTTCTGAACCTCCTCCCTCACTCTCCCTATTCCCACAGACCCTGCAAGCTAGAGTGACAGCACCAGACTTGACACTCCCAGCTCTATCAGGTCATCGCTGCTGTAGGCAACCTACAGACAACACTCGCCCAACAACTACAGCTATCACATGATGAAGCCATCCAGCGCTTCGTAGACACTAATGCCAAACTCTCTCACCGCCTCAGTCAAGCGGCTACTATTCGAAATTTAGGAATACATGTGTCGGCCCTCCAACTACAAAAAGTCGACAGCCCACCCCGCGTTCCAACACGTCCCTTGATATCAACGGCCACTAATTCCCAGCAGTCTTCAACGTCCCCCCTCACCATATGGCAATGGAATTGCTAGAGGTTTTGTTGCAAAAAGAGCAACCTTACACTTGTACATTCTGGCAGCCCCAATCAGACCCGACATTATTCTACTTTAAGGAACGTGCAGGGGCTTCACACCCCCCGCTACGACAAATTCACCCAGCTACACAGCGAAACACCTTGTGTTTGGCTCTGTGGCCTACTGGCTTCCTAACATTTGTGCCCTGGCACCTACAAGGATCAAATCCTACATCATTCAATATAAACAAGCATCCATCCTTATTGCCGGTGACCAACTGCCCTAATGCCTCGTGGGGTCATCACTACACGACCACTCAAGGCCACAAGCTGGAGCGGACTTTCCCTCGTTATATGGACACCACCGAACCTATATGCCAAGGCAGCAGCGTGGGGAGGGACACGTCACTGGACCTCGCCTGGTGTTACGGCCAGTCGTCGGCTGGTTGGGACAACCTACACGACAATCTTGGAAGTGGCCATTTCCTCATACAAATCTCCCTCCCTTTCCTTCATCGACAAACCACTCGTAAACTCCTCCCCCCCCCCCCCCCCCCCCCCCCCTCCCTAACTTAACCAAATGGGACAAATTTAGGACCCAACTTGGTTCTACGGTACCTCCAACCCCACTGGGTCTCCACCATCCAGACGTCGTACACACACACCAGGGGCATCGCCCCTTCTGAGGACCACCAGTACGGACTCCCATTTCCTCCACTTAAGGGACAAACTACACCAACTAGTCCACAGCCATCCCAGACGTCATCCAAGAAGCCCCGAACTACGCTCCCTCTCTCTTACTACCCACAACTGGCTGGACACATGCGACGGGATGAACAGTCGTCTCCACACACTATCGCGTAGGGCAAATCTTTTCAACTCCACTTGGCCAGACCAAACTGCTCCGCCCCCTCGTCAAACTTCGTAGCAATCAGCAGTCCCCCAAAGATCTGGCAAACAACGCCCTTCAATGCTTCTACCCTGTCACTGTCCCCCTCCCCCTGGTACTGCCGGCCCCAGAACCAGGCACCGAAGGGGGCATCGATTCACCCTTCAGCCCTTCCGAACTTCTCACTGTCCTTTGTGACATCAAAAGACAAGCCACCCCAAGTACAGACACACTGCACCCTCGGGTCCAAACTTGCCTACGCAACCTCCCCGACACTTATCTCAACATTCTCCTTTCCTACATCAATGAAGCCGAGGTATCTAGCCACATTCTGCAGAAATGGCGCACCATTAAAGTTATGTTCATTCCCAAGCCGGCCAAACCGCCAACAGATGCAGCTAATTTCCACCCTATATCCCCAACTTCCCGTGTTGGCAAACTCACGGAGATGGTCCTCAGCAGATTGCTGTGGCACCTAGACTAAATAGATACTTTTGCCCCTACACAGACAGGCTTCCACCCACACATCGCCACCTAGGACAGTGCCATACGCATCTACAAGGACATTTACCAAATCCCCAGCACAGACCAACTCCGGGTACCGCAATCGTGGACATCGACAAAGCCCTCGACATGGTCACCCACTTTGCTATTCACCTCTCTCGGTTCCATTTCGGCTTACGCATCTTCAACCATGTTCAAGCCTTTCTAACAGCACAGTACAACTTCAAATCAATGACTATACTTCCCCACCCCACCCCCAAGAGGCATCCTCCGTTCTCTCCCGTTATTTAACTTTGCTATGGTCCACCCACCTACACAGCTTTAAACTATCCAAACACTTCACCATAAAATCTACACTTACTTCGTCACTTTCTGTTGTTCACGAGGCCATCCCGCAGATTGAACAATTCAGCAGGGCCTCGATACCATTCAGACCTACGTCACCAACATTGGTCTCTCTTGCTCACCAACCAAGTCCAAACTCGTGGTTGTCTCCAATGACCACACCAGACAAGCAGACAGAAGGGCCTTATCTCCCTATCCATTCATGGTGCAGACATCCCACGCAAACCGTCCCTTACCGTGCTCAGCTTCCATCTCCACCAACCAGCCCAACCTCATCTATGGCTCCAATCCATTACGAGACAAATCAACCAGGTTCATCACATGCTCTGCGGAGTAACACGGCACCAGGCCGGTCTCTGAGCACGAGCTCCGAAATACCATCAAGGCCCTTGTATACTCTGTGTCATGTACCAACTGCCTTACCAAGAACTGTCATCCACACAGATGAAGCAATTAGGAACTGCCCTCTGGAAAAGCCACCATCTTGCCCTTGGCATCCCCCAATGCGCACTAAACCACTTTCTCGAAGCCACAAGCCCTTCCAACTCTCTTAAACCGTATCATGGTTCATCACCAAGTGCTGCAAGAATGCCTCAAACGTTCAACCAGGGCAGGCAACTCTTACAACTACTCGGTTATCCATCGTGCACTAACCCTCCATCCCCTCCCAGCCGCGCCAGGGGACATCCCTCCCACGTGTATGCGTCCTCCCTATCCCTAAACACATGTCGGTTGAGCACAACAAAGCACATCGCACAAAGCAAGTACACCACATTAACGGTGCACAGATCCCTCCTCACACAACAGCCTACCACACAATTGTATCTCATTTCCCAACGCGGTGTTGTACCACTGTCTAGAGTCCCCATTATGCACACACCTCGACATACACCCAGGTTCCATACCCCACTTCAGCAGAACTCCTGGCCACATCTGAAGCAATCACCCTTCCCCAACATCCTACTGACAAAATCATTACAAGGACAGACAATCAGTCGGCATGCCGTCCCTTCTTGCATAATCTACTCCCTCCGCACATTCACACCGAGATCCTGTCACCTCACTCAACAGTCCTCCCTTCGCGTAACTATCCAGTGGATCCCAGGCCTCAAAGCCATCAGGGGCAATGTACGCGCACTCACCCGCAATGAGCTTACTCCAGGTCCCTCAGAAGTTTGGCCAGACAAATGCGATCCCAGTCACCACCGCAAAATCCTACACAATGCACAAACTACCCTTCTACGCGACCGCAGACACTTAACGGCGCAATTTCCCCAATCCCCCCGCCTCCTTCCGCAGACAGGATGCCTCCATCCGTCGCAGAGCTCAAACCTCCTCCCTTCTCACTTTACACATCACATGCGGTGTCTCCCTGGATCTCCATGGCCCCACTGCCAGGAATACGCCTCTAACGAGCACATGCTCTGGCTAGGTCTGGTCGGACTAGCTCGTGCTCGTAGCTTTGGCTGCAGTGTCAGCTTAAGTGTAAACAGGGTGTGGTATTTCACCAAATGTCCACAGCTTAAACACACAACACATCACTTCCAAGGTGATGATCAGAGTAGACACTGTACTCATTCGCCACAAATTTGTCAACAAATTGTCAATGAGCATATTTGCCCAAGTGACGCAATGCTCGAGTCCAATGCGTGGGCTGGGGTCAGTAGACTTACCTTGGGTACTGCGGACGTATCACAGTGAAAAGGTGGAGTTTCCCAAAGAAAAAAGGTAGGAAATCGTCCGCTATATCTTTAAAATTTCGTATCGAAAAGCAGGCTTTCGACTTTCTACCCCCTTTTGTTTGACCCACTAACCTATACAAGGATAGTAACATCTGTATACAAAAACATGTCTCCTAGCCCAAATTTTCATGGCCCCTTTAAGTTTCAACCGTGGAGCAACTATATTTGTAACTGTAGTATATACAAACTTATTAGTCGGATGAGTGAAAAAGATTGCTGTAATGCGGGCTCCAGTCAGATAAAACTGTTTAGGAAACACATCTCACGATTCAGCAGCAAGCAATTGGGTCACCGACAGAAAGAGGACAGCAGGGCAATTCTTTTATATGCCCGACCTTGAGCGCTTTGGATGTGGACAAACGCTCGAGACACTGAAGCATTACTGAAGCAACAAAGCTCACACTGAAGACTGAACAACTAAGCGCTTCTCTGCCATTCCAATCGTGTCAATAGCAGGAAAACTCTGTCATTCGTCCCCCGCGAACCGGCACAAAAACAAGACGAGAGCCCTAGCTAAAGTCTGTAAGTCAAAGTTTATTTTTTATCCTCCTCGCTGCTGGAAATCATAGGTACGGAACACTTGTTCAAGGTTCCCCACGCTCTATGTACATTCCTGGGAGGGGCACAGGTCCTTGGCTGCGCGCCCCCCCCAACTCCTTCCGGCTGTCGGGCCCACCGTGGGCCCTGGTTGTTTCAAAAGGGTCGTAGCTCTCGCTGCGTCCTAGCCCCGCCGCGTGTCCCAGCATGCGGGGAGGGGCCGTCATGGCCACCCCACCCGTAACAAACTTCCCCGCAGGGTAAATTTCTCCTCCTCCTTAAATACACGCAAAAAAAAAAAAAAAGAAAGGGAACTAAAACATTGTTTTGTCTTCTTTCTCTTGATCCCCTTCATCTTTCCAAAGTCTTTAGAGGTCACCATACCAAAAAGCTAGCATAGCACTCCCTTTACAATTGTCCACAAGAAAATGACGGCGCCAGCGGGCACCTTCTTGCGGTGCACAACTTATTTTTTTTTAATTTTTGTTTTCCTAGATAAAATAAAGGGGAAAAATAAACAGGAGGAAAAAAAGCTGGAGAAAAAAAAAAAAAAGCTGGAGAAAGGAAGTTTTTGTTGTTTCTCTTTAAGAGGAAGAACCATCCACCACCACCACCCCTGCATAACCTCCTTTACAATAACTAAATTAGAATTTGCGGGGAAAAAAAGATGCTGCCCTTCTGGCTTTTTAGAGGACCAAAAAAAAGGAGGAAGACACTTTTCTTTTAGCATATACTTCACATATAGCACTCTAGAAAACCTTTTTTTATCTGCACAAAAATGTAGAAAGGATGAAGTAAAAAAAAAAAAAAAAAAAAGGCAGGCAGGCCAGTCGTTTTGGAGAAAAAGGTTTCCCACACATTTGTTTCTCCAACTGGACACTCGCATCTGGGCTCCAAAACATGTGCCATTGGTATCCTGCCTTAAAATATTATATTCCTATATATATATATATATATACTTTATATATATATATATATATAATATATATATATACGCGAGTCTCGGCGCATGCCAGGTGGCGCATTCACCACTCCGCTCGCGTGCACAAAAAGAAAAGACCACGAAGAAAGGAGGCAACTGTGGCACTGCCAGGGCAACAAACAAAATGTTTCCACCAACCAAACGAGGGAGTAACAAACGTTCCCCAAGGTCGGAAGGGTTGCCAGACGCACCGTCTCCCCTCGCAAACGATGGTGAGGGAAAGGGAGCAGGGTCAACCTTTGCACCTCCCTCCCCAGCAGAGAGCGTTGCTAAGTGGGGACACAAGAAAAAAAAAAGGGGGGGGGGGGGGGGGGGGGATACCCAAAAAACGGAGGCAGGGGAAATTGCAAGATTGCTGCGTAGAGTTCAGTCACGAGTTGCCCGGTCGGTCGGTAAAGTCAAGTTGCAAGTGAGTCCGTACAGTGTCGGTTGGCCGGCCAGAGAACGATGCTCCGTCGCGCGCACCACCAGTCCTACGTCAAGTGAGTCACCGGCACAACGCCGCTTCTTCGCGGCCCCCTTTCCCTCCCCGTGTCGCCACAAAGAGGAGGGGGGGCCAGGGGGAAGAGGGAGAGAGAGAGCAGGGCTGGCCAGGGAAGGAAGAGGGGCCCTCAGTTGTCTTCCCCGGAGTCGCCCTCCATCTCCCCGAGCCAGGCGAAGAAGGAGGTGGTGGACTTGAGGGCCACCCCCTTGCCCTCCTGCTCGGCCGGGTCGGGGCTCTCCGCCCACTGCTGGAAGGCGTCCTCCGAGATCAGGTCGCAGTCGTAGAAGGCATTGAACAGGTGCACCAGGATACCTGCGGGGGGAGACGCACCTTGTACTGCATGTATGGGCACCGCAGGCAAGAACGCTCGAGCACGGCCGTTCGACGATCCGTGCTCAAACGTTCCGTCCTTCTCCAGGGAGTACTAGCGCAGGGTGTGGCCGCACCAAAAGAGCACACTCTTCAGCTTGCACACCATCAATTACCCCGCTAAACTATCGAACCAAAATAACTCAGATTTCATCGTGAAATTATTTAGAGAAGCTGAGATTTTGGTGCACACATTTTTATTTTGTCACTCAATGAGACCCGTGATGCTACAGCCACTAATCTCGCGCCTTTTTTAATTCCCCTCCTTACCAACATCGAGCAGCTCACCGAGACACCCGACATGTATGTTGGACCAGAACCTCCTTTTACACCTTTTTCACAAGGTATGCACTAAAACAGTTTTGATATATCCATGCCGCTGGAAGGCGGTCACGAAAAATATGTGGTTGTCACACGTTCTAGTTTTGCCTAACCTATGTTTTCTCTCATAATCAAGGTTAAATTTTTTTTTTTTTTGTCGTGCATACCAGGTACAGAATCCACGTGACTGAGGACAAAAGGAAACAAAAAACGTCTAAGCTTATTTATAAAGGACGCTCTGGTCGGACAAACTGGCACACGTCTCTACCATCGAATTAAAAGAGCTTGTTAAAGAATGCGATCACGTCGGCTCGGTCAAGCGCCTTTCCACATCCTCACTCCGCCGTGCGCTTGCAGTTTCACAACTGCAGGTCACAACTCAAAACTGCAGGTGGTGAAACTGGTCAGTTTCACCACCTGCAGTGGTGAAACTGACAAGTGGTGATTTGGAGCAGTTCTTGCAGCAGGGAAAAGCGGGTATTGGAGCAGAGATTCCCACTTTTTGAGTCCACAATTTCGAGCTTTCATGTCAAAAAATGTTATACAATCTTTTTGGAAGTTATCCCATGGAAAAAAAAAAAACTGCAGTTGTTGAACTGTTGGGAGATTATTTAAAGCAGGGCTGCACAACTCAAAAATGACGCAGGCAAAAAAAAAAAAAAAAAATGTTTATTGAGAACTATGACGATTTTTAATAACTGGCAGAAAGGTTCTCAATATCTCGCATCCTCGCACTGGTTGCAGTCTTGATCATATCTCGCAGTGTCATGCCCGCGGGCCGCACGTTGTGCACCCCTGATTCAAAGTGTCATATCTACAGGGGACCAGGCCACTACAGGCATTTATTTATTTAATGAACAATTATACGGCGGTAATTTTGTAAATGTCTAAATTAACCTATTAGAAGTGCCGACTGGGTCTTCAATCTGTATCTGATGTAAAATTATGTTTTTAGATCCTTTGTAGGGTTTGTATCATGCTGCTTGCTTGTATTCCACCTGCTACTGTACATAGAGCAGCTAAGTGGAGCACATAGCTACTCTACCTGATCACAAAGAATAGCGCCAGCTATTCATTGCAATTTATGTGAGCAGTGTTTGCACAAAAATCTATAACTCTTCGTTAGGCACGTGCAAATAATGAATTTTTGGTTCAAAGCAAATTCAAAGTGAATAGTGGCCTTGGCCAAATATTTTTGAACTGAATATTGAATAGTTGTTGTGCTTTTCTTTGCACCTTTTACTACTGATACACCATGCTTAACAAAAAATTCAGCTGAACTTGCAGAGGTTGTTCTCAAGTTTCTAAATGCCCACTATTGAGCTTTGTTAATTTCAATCTAGCACTGTGGCCTCAGAAAGTCCAATACCGACATTGGGATAGCATGTAAACGACACATTTTACATAAAATAAAACCCATAAAGGAGCTCAGCCGCACCTAATTTTGGGATATAAATCTTATTGCTCTATGCAAATATTTTCCTTGACTCTAAATTCACATTAAAAACAAAAAAACAAGCACCAACAATGAACAGACGTTGTTAGAACATCGCTGCCTAACATATACTCTTGCATAATAGCCACAGTTAAATTTTGAAGATTCTACTGCAATGTAAGTATCAACAATCCCAATGTTTCCTGTTTATTTATTTATTTATTTTTTAATTCAAGACCCCAGGCACATGCATGCGCGCACACGGCCACTTTGAAGGTGTGTTTTTTGTCTAAGCACGCGGCTCCGGATGAGAGTCGCAAGACGGCAGTGTCAGCTCCTCGGGTATTGTTTTTCCGTAGTGCACCACTGCTTGAGGAGAGGCACACTGGAGGGGGCAAACCCGCCGCGAACAACACTTCGAAAAGCATGAATGTCGCAGCTCATTTTGAAGAGAATATCAAATAGCGTATTGTTTAAAATTACTACTATTTGAAGATTTGAATATTTGCATATCCCTAATCTTCGCACATAGTATGTAGGCATCCTAAAAAAACAAGTATTTTCTTAATCTTCAGTGGCATCGCCAACAATGCCACAAACCAGACACTTTCAGTTCACTTTTCGAGAACAGCTCCCTGAACCTTCGGAGCAGCGTCGTTCATTCTGGCACAGTTTGGCACAAATGGCACAGCAGTTCCACCACTGAATCTGCTGTGCTGCCGTATGCTGCCATGCCCGTTCCATCGCCATCTAGTGACTACAAATACAATCGAAAGCAGTGCACCCGCTTCGAGAGCTTCCTCCAAACGAAACCTGGCGGCGCAAGCCACCACCCAATTAAAGGGAAGCTGAAACACTTCTTGAAAAAAACGAGTTAGAGGTGAATTCTGGCGTATTTTTATCCCGTGAATCTGAATATCACTTTTGTTTTCCCCGAAGATGCAACTAAAAGCGAGTAAAAGCGAAAAAACATTCGACCAGTCGTGACGTCATACTAGGATCTTCGGGCCTCCAAGCGCGTGTCGCTCGTGTGTTCAGCGCGTGCAACGGCAAGCTTGCCAGGTATATTTCCCCGCACTGACACCAGTCGTGACGTCTCTTTCTGACCTTTCTGAAAATAGCAAGAGTGCGCGTGCATAGCTTTGACAGGCGCTGAAGATGCGCGAGAGCAGATATTCCGAACGCTCCTAGTGTGACGTCACGCCCCGGGAAGGAGGGGCTTCGGCGGTACTTTAAAAATTAATTTCTGAAGCCTCCGTGCACCAAATTGAAAAATAATCTTGATATCCCTGATCCTGGAGGTAGAATGAAGGCCATTGAAATGTTTTTTCTCAAATAGAGAACCGCTTCAGTTTCCCTTTAAGAAAAGGCTAAACTTACACAGTCAGCGAACGCCTTTGTTGCGTGGTGGGGGGTCAATATCGGTGCTATAGGGATTGATGCGATTCACATTTTGGCAAGTCAGTCAAGTTTGTTGTGTGGAAGTTTGGACAGTGCGAAATCAGTATGCAGCGAGGAGCGCCTGGTGTCTCGGCTGTAGATGACAAACTGGTGGTGTCTTTAAATCGCGTCCCGCAGTGGTGAGTACACAAATGCATTCCAATAAAATTTTCATTTAAATAAAAAAAAAATGGTAAGCGAGCCTAAAGGCTCGATTACCACTTTTACACAGGCACATAATTCGCTCCATGGAGCAAATTATGCGACGAATAACTAATGAATGTCGCTGAACGGCATGCTCACTTTGCACGCAACGTAGCAACCACTGTGCTGATGTCACGCGCAGAGCGGAAATGGCCGAGCGAAATTCAGATTTTTCACGGCATATTCGCCCTATGGAGTCCAGCCTTTAGATGCCTGGATTCTGTAGTGCGAGCTTTCGTCCCACGTGGTTTGAGCTGCAATGAGCTAGCAGACTGCCACCGTTCCCCTTTTGATGAGTCATTTGTCAACAAACAAAACCTCATTTCTGATGTCACGCATACTAAATTTGGCACTGCACAGTTTTCTAAAACACTTTGAATGCTGTGCAGATACGTCTGTATGCGACAGCACAAATTCGCTTTTGCGCCATCAATTTTTCACACTGAGCCACCCCAACGAAGTTCCCCGAACAAAAATTTTTGCCCATCCCGCGGACTTCGTTACAAAGGCGTTGCACCGTAGAAGCTTTGCAGCAGCTGTGCGCAAGCACGACTGCAACGAACCTTCACTTTTGGCGTCCTCTTTTCCGGTAACCTCATTTCACCTCTACGATAACGAGACGGCGTACTGTCTCTTTACAACACTCCGGCGTCCTTAGCTGAAACGCAGGCTTCTGTGAATGCTCCTCAACGCCCGCTTCAGAGGCCGGACATCTCGGCAAGACGCGACGGAGACCCCAATCTGGCGCGTGCTGAAGCGTCCACGATGACGAAGGCGATAGAGGCGGCCAGACGAAACGAGAGAGAAGGGGCGGACATACCCTTGGGGTGCTGTAGCCGGTTGACCAGGGCCTGCAGGGCATACAGTGCCTGCAGCTCCAGCTCCTCCCGGTGGTCCAGGTACTTCTGCAGCAGGTCCATGTAGCCCTTCACCAACTCGTCCTTCAGCTCCGCATTGCCGTCCGCCAGCGTCGTGATGGCGTTCTCCGCTATCACCGTGATCAGGGCACGGATGAAGTGTGGCTGCCTCGCGTAAGCCTCTCCCAGGTTGCTCTGCACGCACGCACAGAGACACACCACTGAATCATAGGCAGCCCCGGGGGCTTCCACATCACATAGACTGAGCACCTCACATGTGCTTGTTTGAGAAGGACCACACGGACTTTGTGAAGGACCTCACTGCTGTGTACACACCTTTTAAAGCCCATATTCTGCACTACCGAATTTGCTTTTCGCAGCAAAAATGAGTGGGAACGATCCTTGGTACGACAGCATCACGTTGAAGCAACATATTCTTGGTCAATTTGAAAATATATGTTTCTTTCGTCCCTCCGTACTATTCTCGATGAATTCCACGGTTAACCATGGGACACATCACTTCCAATAATAATGGCGATGAAAAGACGATAGATGTCACGCACCTTGGTCTAGTTGCAACGCAACGACTTTCACAGCAAACAAAAGTACTCTGGATGTCGTCCCATGCACTTTTCGTCCCACCAAATATTGCGCAAAAAGGCCACGGACTGCCGGGTTTAATTGCAAAGCCAGTCAGAAACCATACAATTAGATGGGTGCAACAATACACAGAGACACGTGCACCGACTTGCAAGCAATATACCGCGGAGCTTCCAACTGGCTCATGATGGGACCTGGCGACTCTTAGCTTTGGCCGTAGTTTGTCACGGGGTGAAACAAAGTACTCTTCCCTTGCAGACGACGAAGATGCTCTTCATAAAGCACGAAATCTCGAATCCAACCTCCTCCATGAGGTAAACTATCCTGCAAAGGGCTTACTCATTTGCCACATCTGTATTAAGCCGCACAATCCTAAATCCACTACATCTCACAGTCACGTCTCCGGCACCTTAGCGCAGTTCGATCCATTTACCCCTAAGCCGATGGTGCTCCGAGAGCTATGCACTCGCCGGACCAATGGACCGTCTCCCTCTCATTGGCCGATTCCTCCTCTCTGAGCAGAGAAAGGTAAAGAATGACTGGTCCAAAGGGCACGTAGCTTCTCCCACACTGTCGGCTCTGGCGTGAACGGAGAATGCGCCAGCACGACTCTCCGACGTCGTGTCGCAGCAGTGGTGCTGCTGTCGGTACGGCGCACATGCAGACTTCACCTTGCGCGAATCTGTTTTCTGCACATGCTTGGTACCCACACCCGGAGTGGGCAGACGCAGACTTGTCCGTAAACGGCACGTTGGCGTACGCATTGCGGAGGCCGGCACTCACCTCGATCCACTCGATGATGGCGGCCGAGGGGGCCCCCTTGGAGACCACCAGGTACTTCAGCTGAGCCTGTACCTCGGCTGCCGTGAGCGAGGACACCGACTCGGCCGGGCCGCCCGCAGACGCTCCGCCGGGTGCCGGAGAAGCCGTTCCGGGGGCCACCGCCGTGACCGGCCCGCTGCCGCCCCCGCCGAGGGTGAACGACACGCCCTGGAAATTTGTGAGAAAAAACTCCACGTCGGGCACTCTCCCACCAACCGTCGAAACTCCTCAACCACAGAGGTTTCAAGTTTGAGTTTTTCAATTTATTCGGCTTAGCGTGGGGCATCGCATTCACAACAAACTTCTTGAGGCAACGCAGTTGAAGCTGCAGTCGCGAGCGTTCGCGCGCCTCGAGTGCCGATCCAAGTTCAAACTTGCCTGCCCTTGCAAACCTACTACACTTTGTTTCACTGAAACTTGGCAAAGAGCAAACACACTCTCGAGCCAATCAGAGCAGCGAAGGGAAAGTATGCGACGTCCCGAGGACAAGAGTGTGACCCAAGTAGTTGGAGAAAAGGGGAAGAACTCCCCTCTCATCCGGACTTTTTATACGATGTGTAGTTTGTCAGCCATTTCAAAGTTGCGACGAGTCACTCACTGTAGATGAGCAATTTAGCCAGTGCAGTCCAACCACTAGCCTGGGGTCTTTAACGTGCACCACGCAGTAGTGATACACAACCGCACGTTGGTACAATGCTCATTCAGATCGAAACGGGCAGGGGTGGGGATTGAACCCAGGATCCCTGGGTTGAGCAGTGCGACCTCTCGCTCCACGTGCTCCTAGCTGGTGTGCGCTAGCCCACTCGGCCACCAATTGCCCAACCAGTCACTAAACATTTGTACAAAAACCGCTTTTCTCCTTCTTTTGCCAGTGACTGACAGCACTGTGTTTCGGCTAAGGATACAGAGTATAGTAGCGTGAGTGGCTCCGACGCGTTAGTTAGCTTGCCGTTTGCTAAGTTGCGGGGAGACTGAAAATAGTCGATGCGACACCAGCTTCTTCAAGATGGGAGCATGCTTTCAACGACGGTGTGAGGCAACACGGGTAACTGAACAAGTGCTTGCCTTCTACAATGATTTGAGCGATCGCTATCATCCACGGTTAAAGGGTCACTCGACTTGCTTGTGTAACTGAAACTCGCCGTCCATATATGGTCTGTCTATAATGGTAAAGCTACCGACAGTCCTCACCACTGAAATTCCCCCTTTGACTTAATTGCTGTTGCCACATCACCCATGAAGCCAACCGAGGCGCCCATATTGGTTTGCAGCGAGGGGAACTGCGTGTCGAACCCCGAGAATGTACCGAACCACTTGAAGGTCCAGCGGGAAACCCACTTTACTGACACACTGGAGCGGGCGAGCAACAGACACGCCGAGGGTACTCACATTGGCTGCGGCAAAGGCTTCCACATCCTCTCCGGGCTTGAGGAAGTCCTTCCACTGGAGACCGGCTGTCCTCCACAGTTGAGCCACTGCAGCCTCACCCTGCAACCGACAAAGAGCTCAGTTACGACCACTGTCTGCAGGAAAATGTGCAGCGCGCTACGATTTGAGGAGCTCGCTCCAAAATTAGCCGGAGAATTCGGAAAATGCGGAAAACAAGCTCAAGCTCTACCGAAGGTGAATTTTAATGCTGCATTTCACTTTGTCAAATTTCAAGGCATACTTCCCTTCCTGCAAAAACTTTGACCAACACTCACAACAGTTTCAACAGCAGACCAAGTCAACAGTGTCGTCGCAACAAGCAGACCAACACCCCCTTTTATGGAACTGTCCGATGCTAGAGGAAACAAGGAGCGAGCACACAGACAATCTTGCTGGAGGGCTGGACAAACACACCTCACCCACCGGACAAACACACCTCACCCGCCAGACAAACAGGAGATTCTAGACACGTCAACAGACTTCATTCACGAAGCGGGCCCAATTGCCATCATCCCTTCCTTTACTCCCGTCTTCCTCCCATGCCGCCATGTTCAAGCTGCAAAGCCACCGACAAAATCCACACGTCTCGTACAACTCGATAAGCGTTTCGACCGATTGATTGCCCTAGATAACGGACGAAGCCACGTGCTCTGGCAAGTGGCTTCGACAGAGTTCAAGCACCGCATAATCTAATCCATCCTTGCACCGAAAAGTCGAAGCCGAGCAAAGGGGAGCCACGAGAGACGACTGGACGCACCAGGGTTTTGGCGAGGAGGACGAGCACGCAGGCGGCCAGGCGGCCGGCCCTGCCCTGGGCCCTGAGTGGCTGGGCAGCGTCCCGGAGGTACTGCAGTGTCAGCCAGTGGTCTTGGAAGAGTGGGGCCATCAGCTCCGCCGCATACTCCCACACCTTGGGGATGTCCAGCTCCATGTCCTCCCCATACTCCAGCACACTGTGCAGCCCCTTGGTGAACAGGTCCAGGGAGAGCAACTTTTTCTTGAGCAGCTCCTTGAGCAGCTGCCCCACCAGGGACCGGGCTTCTGGCGACCGGTCCAGGATGTGGTTGATGGATGTGGACACCACCACGTCCACATTGGAGGGGGAGGCCAGCTCCACCACGTTCTGCACCGCATCCTGAAAGAACAGCCTTCCTCTAGCCTCCACTGCTTGTGTGTACCACTTTAGACACTCCAAAAACAATTTGCATCTAATCTGCAAGTCAAAGTCAAATCTAGGTGTTTCATGTGCCAAACCAAAGGAAAGGCATCTGGCATGCTCCTATGGAGGACTAACTTGGACCACCTGGGGATCTTTTGACATGCCTATAATATGTTTTGCCGTAAGAATGCCTAGAGCAGGGGGAGTTGTTCGACAGCTTTCAAAAGTGGTTCGAGGATCCCTAAAATCAACACATTTAACCCTCACTCTACACATAAGTACATCCCTTAGAGGGTATATTTTGCCTGACAGATTACCAACAAATGCTCGTCTCAGAACCTCGTGTGCATCTCCAGAATGGCCTGCACGGCTCCAGTAATCACGCTTCAGTGGTGCAGGTACGACGGAAACTCACACTCGACATAAGGCAGGCAGAATGCCCCCAGCCGCTCGGCACACTCAACCAGTTATGGTGCCCTTTGACCTGGCGGCGGGGGTCAAAACTCCCGAGCCGAGAAGGCTACGGATCTGGGTGCGTTTGTGCAGTGTGTTCAGCATTTACTCTGAACAAAATTGATTGACCGATTGATTGCCCACCTGGAAGTCGCTATTGCACAGGAACTGGTCCACGAGCGCTTCCGTTCTCGTCCTTAGTGTGTCCTCGTCCATTGTCGGCGAGCCACGGAGCACCAGGTCTGTTAAACACGGGGGAGGGAGAGAAAGACGCCTTAGAAACACTGTTCAGCTTTTTGTCTTCACTGCGCATTTCTACCTTTGCCAGCCCCTCGCTCTTTGTAATGCCCTTGGGCATTTAAGAATTTCATAAATAAAACAGTATCCTTATTGTGTCGCACCCATGCGAATGCGTGCTGTGGGGAAAGACTACCACAGCAACTTGTCAGCACAAGGCCGTGGTAGTCTTACAGCACTCATATAAGAAACATTTTCAAAGTTACATAAGCTACGGTTATAAATTTGCTACAGTGTACCAATCAGAAACCTAGTACGTTCTGGCACTGGCACTATGGGAGTTTCCTCCTGCTCGTTTGACGCAGAGGGCAAGAAAAAATTTCTTCCCATTATTGTTGGACAGCTAAGTCACCTCGCTACACGTGCCTTTGAAAACCAAAATCGAAACGACGTTCGGCTTCTACGCAGAAACGGGACACACGGAGCAACGATCTTGACGGCACCGGATCTTAACGACGGCTTCTAGAGCTGCAGTCAACACTCGACAAAGTTGACGTTATTTGGCAAGCCCGCAACCCACTCTGGGTCGGAGGGGGGACAAGCAAACAAAACGACAGCAGGAGTGCGTGCCGACGGTGCGTCATCGCTTGCCTCACCAGGGCCGTGCCGCTTAAACTACGGTGCCTGGATCGTGGCTTTGTGGTCCCCAGATTTCTGCCCGACGACGTCATTGAAGCGTTGCGCTGTCACCAGCCGCGATCCTTGGGGCGTCTCATCCAACATCTGACGGCGTGACATGCCTCCCTTTGTCGCCAGTTTGGGACCACTTTCGACAGACGGGCAGAATGGGATGCATGCACCGACACATGGGCCGCACCCAAACGGTGCATTGCGAGCTCCACCCACCAGGTTCCCTGGGCCTGGCCTCCCCCTGACCGGCAGGGGCAGCCAGAGGAGCGGCCGCTTCCTGCGAGGCCGCCTCCGGGGGCGAAGGGGCCGGCGCGTGCTGCTGGGCCGAGGAGGACGGGGGTCCGGGGGAGGGGCCGGCATTGGCTGCCGCCAGGTTCTTGACGGCCGCCAGGGCCGCGTCCCTCTCCCGCGACTGCGAGGGCGTCTTGCGGATGCCCAGCGACGACTGGGAGCCGCCCTGCTGCTGCTGCTGCTGCTGGGAGCCGCCGCGCCCGCGGCTAGACTCGCGGCTGGACGCCGTAGACCTGGCGGAGAACCGTAGGGTCAACTTAATGAACTAGAAAGATAGGTCCCATGCACTTCGGCTGCTTCGAAACGGCAAGGCACGGATGCGGACGTCGGCGGTGCCGACGAGAACATGTTGCTGGCGAAGCTTTGATATGCGCAAAGAAGGAGGAAAGCGTCGCTTGCAAGGTCTGTGTCTAGCCTTTTTGTAGCTTCATTTTGCGTGAAAACGCCAGGGCAGGCATCATATAAAATCAAATAAACTCGATGAGCGCTCGAGCGAGTTTGATTCAGCCCCGCTAAACGAATGCGCCTAACCTATCGGCAAGCTTTCTCGTTGTCCGCTCTTTCTCATTCTTACTCTCAGGACTACCGATGTCGGCACTTGGGATTAGCCGCTCTCTACCACCATCTCTACCTTCTTAGGGAAAACAAAGCGATGCCGTCGGCCAAAGGGCTACCTTCAACTACACTCAGTTTCACCGTAACTTGGTGAAAGGCGAACACTACGGTCACCTCAACCTGGTCGGCACGTGCGACGGAAACACACAACCATACTCTATCCGCGCAGTGTCGTCAAAGCCACGGGTGTGAAAGGAAAGCAGCTTTTGTGTGAATTTTAAAAGCAATGCAGGCAACATCAGGAAACAGAAAAGGAGAAGGCCTTCTTCTCCTCTCCTCCAAGAGCATAGGTTACGCTCTTGCACCCATACCTTTGGAGAGGGCCATTGCTTGCGCTGCCTCCATTGCTTTGATTGACTCGAGGGGGCCGTGGCATTCGCTCTCTGCTTAGTTGCAATTAAACGGCGTGTAGCAATGCGCAAGCCGTAGGTGGCTCGGCGAAACTAATTAACCGGCTGGTTTAGGAATTACTCTCCTGAAAAAACAATGTGCACCCTGCAAACATTTCCAGAGAGTGGCCTGTTCCAAGCTAAGCCACTCTTTTCCTGCTTTTGGCTCTAGAATTCAATGTTCCGCCGCCTGAGCGAGGCGCTTTGGAAAAATTTCGATACGCAGAAACACGCTTGTGGCACAAGCCTGCATATGCCCCAGACTCGCCACTTGAAAGGCGGTAACCTATTTCTACACCACAATGCGAATGTATATCTACCACCTCTGTGGCAGCAACCTCGCCTCCCAGATGAGACCGTATAAAACAAAAAAAATATTGAATGATATTAGACTCAATGAACCTTAGAAAATGAGCATAAACTACAATGATACAATGCCTATTTGTAGTGGCTCTGACCAATCGTCCAACGTCAGACCAGGGAGAGCAACGAACGACCACGTCTCCCGAGACTTTGCAACAACTCCGCGCCAGACTTCGCGCCCCGTCACTCACCTCTGGGCTCCTCTCCGAGAGTCGTAGGAGCCAACGTCTGCCAGAGCAGAGAACCTGCGGGGGAAAAAGACTGTCTCACCGAGGCGCAAATTAAATCCGTCCTACGCGGCGGTGTGCCCACGTCCCCTCGCCCTGAATGAATTCCTTCCAGTCACGTGTTAAGCAAAGCCTACGCATGGTGGTTAGGTCCAGCCCTAAAAAATTCCTGGGCAGAATCCTGAAAAGGACTATGCAGAATGCAGATACTCTTACTACAGACTGACGTCGGTTATGACTGGAGCCTGTTCTAGCTGGGAGACTTAACGAAATTTGACCATGTATTTGTTCCTGAATTGTCATTTATGTATAATTTGTACGATGGCCCTGAACAAGGACCACTAGTATAAATAGAATAAATAGGAAAACCAACGTCCGAAATAGCGACAGCTGTTGAACAGTCCGCTATAATGAAATGGACAACTACTTACAAACTTCCTAGTATAGTCCATTATATCCGAGTATGCTATAACAGCATCTGTAATAAGCTAAGTTCGCTCAATGGCATAGATAGGAAGGCCAACCAAACTTCACAAATCACAAGAGGCGGGGACCCACCTGTTGGTGGCTCCCGAAGAGCGTCCCTCGGGTTCCTGGCTGGCCATCTTGCCTCCTCCGCTGCTGCCCTTGGCCCACGAGGACATGCGCGCACTGGGTCCCAGCTGGATGGAGTCCTGCTCCGTCATCTTCGTGCTGATCTGCTTCACCTTGTTGAAGTCCATGGACTTGTTGTAGTCCGGGTGCTGCTTCTTGCTGGGCACCGTGTTCCAGCCGTCGTCATAGCCCCCTCCCCCCCGGTTCTTGCCCCCTCCCCTGCGGTCCTGGCGGTCGTCCCGCTTGGGCAGGGGCACGTCCCGCATCAGCTTCTCCTGCACCTGCTCGCGCTGGGCCTCCTCGTGGATTTGGTCGATCGTCTTGGGAATGTTCTCGTCACGGCGGGGAATCCACTTCCTCTGCACACGCGAGGCAAGCACACACCCGGCTTGAGCAGACGCTTCTGCACGGGACTTGACCGTATTTATCCGAGCAATAGACGAGCAGTTTGTGAGCAAAGCACGCGGGTCCGCTTTCCCGCGAAGCACTCAAATAGACAATCGCGATCGACGGAAAGATGCTGGCAATTTATGGGACAGAAGAGACTCCTTCAAGCTCAAAAGCGAGCTGCACAGACTGCATTTTCATGGAAAGTTGCAGTTACAGCCTTGTTATTCGCTACGTTTCTCGCGCATAACACTGATTAAAGGTACATGCAAGGGCATTGTTCCTAAGTAGTGCGTCTATTACTCGAGTAAATGCGCAAGTATGAGCGTCTGCCACGCTTGTACTTGGAAGGGAACGAAGCATTGCACTTCACCTCTTGGCAACAATGCCGACGAGGGCAGAGACTAGGCCAGGATGCAAGCTGAGAGTCTGCTTGCTGCTTTCTTCGAACCATTTGATAAGCACTTATAGCTTGTCTCATGAATTACAGTAAAGTGTGCTCGTGTGACGGCACTTTTTAGAGCAGGCGCCTAGGATTAAATGCATGCAATCAAAGGGTCCGCACTGGCCCCAATGATAATTCTCTACAGAACAGAGGCATGTCAGACTCCAACATTTACTTTGTTTCTAAACAACTGGGCTCAAAACTGTGCATTCATTACAATCGTACCAAGATTTAAGTTAACCACTTCCCCATTTTTCCTCTGCCTGCCATGTCCTTTCAGCATGCAGTATAGACCAACATGCGGAGCTGACGTCACGCAGCTGCGGTGGCGCTGTCAACGGCACTGCGCATGCGCAGACGCTTCGCTTCACACAAATTCCGTTTCTGCACACGTGTAGTGCCCGCACCTGGTGTGGGCAAACACGGGCTTGTTTGTAAACAGCGTGTCGGTCTATAGTTTAGTAGTCCCCCTAAGCTCCCAAACACTTTTTACAAAATAAAGCAAAGTTGGTGAGACATGTTTCCCTCTTTAATTGGAATACAAATGCAAACTCCTTTAACCCTAACCCCCCTCCTCAAACCGGGTTTCTAGGAGCCCAGGGGTTCCCCAAGCACCTAAATCTCCTCAGCCGTCCCTGCCCCCAACTTAGTGCCTCTCCGGTTGGGAGAGCCCCTTAGTTGGGTGGCTCGGATCTTAGCAGATTTCAGCCACCCACTGACTCCTCATTATAAGCTAAACACCCCTCAGCATGGGCGTTATTGCTTACAAGCCTGTTTACACTACAGCACTGCTTCACTGCATCAATGCATAGACTAGAAAAGGTCCCGTGGCTGTCAAGAGAGGCAGACGAGATCGACATGTTCGAGAACCCCCGAGCTACACTCCGTTTCGTTTCACAACGAACAACAAATCACACCACGAGAGATCAGAGTCAGTCCAATGCCGTGAGTGTGTCACGTGACCTTCGGGGGGCCACAGCGATGCATGGTCCAAAACGTTCGCTGGTCGAGATGGCCCGTAGCATTTGCCTTGGTTCATCGTAAGGTGAAACAGGGTCACCGTGCAAAATATATGTGCCGTAACAGACAGAGAGATAACCCGCCCCCTATTTCTGGCTTTATTTACTTTTTTTCTTTTAAATACCAAAAGATAGCCCACTCCTGGTAATTCTAGAGTTCGGAACAATGATGACCTCGGCCCAAAATGTGGCTAGTTATTTATGGCGAGATATAAGCGAACATTGTTGACTTTGAAGTACAGTCATCTTTGCTTCATTTCCCATCGCCGCAATAACAAGTTTGGGAGGAAAACGTTACCTAAAAATAGCATTTTTTCCAACTTTTCTTAATCGTACAACGAAAGTTAGCCCACTTCTTATTATCACCCGATTTGCTCTTGATTTTAGATGCGCTCCGCAGCTGCCAGATAAAGTTTTCTCCTAGCCTTGGTAGCAACTGGTGCCCCATGATGACTCGTCAAAGATCGCCTGCCGAGGCCTGGTTTCCGATACTTCTTTACGGGATGAGAAACCCGCTTGCTTCCAAAGTCGGTTTCTGGGTGCGCCACATCATACAGAACTTGGCACTTGCACTATGCATGTTGCTTAGGCACTGTTTCGTCACCGACCCTAGTTTCGTGCCTCAACGGCGGCAAGAGCAGTTTTAAGAATGCATCAAAGCAGTGAGATCTCCGATTAATCTTTGAGCCAGCGTGCGTCGATATCGGAGCAGATGCGCCGAGCACAACGCGCACTCATAGAGGTGCCATCGCAACAAGACTTTCTGTTTTTGTTTTTTTAAGTGAGCCATCTGGACGGCAGAGACCAACGTTACTAGAACACTCAGTTGGGAAACTCGCCATCGAAACCTGGGCCGCTGGCGTCCACCGAGACCGAGCTAAATGCGACAACAGCGCCACTCTTTATCATTTGTCTGTACTGTGGTTACCTTGAGCTTTTTGAAAGCCTGTTTTTGCGTAAAAACAAACGAAAAAGACTCTTTTTGTATGAAATTTATTGGAGTTTAGTGCCAAAAGAGGGGCGCGTTATGTTTTTAAAATCTTTAGTTTGCAGGGTTTTGCGGCACAATTAATATTGTTTTTATACAACCATGCCTCAGCGGGCCTTTCAGGTAGCACGCCCCGCCCTAGGTGCATTTTACTTCGGTAGCTCAATGCGGCGCGTCCGCCGGGGAGACGGGGCGGCACCCTGTAACCTCTATCGCTGTATCTGTTCTTATAGCCAAAATAGAAGTCACGTGCAGTTCCTCGAGTGGCCGCTGCGGGAGGAATGGTGGCGTTGTGTTCGTCATTAGCTCGGTGCTCGGAGACAGTTTGGGGCCACGTTTTCAAAGTTGTCTCTATGTGAGTTTCCCAACTGAGTGCTTTAATAACGTTGGCAGAGACTGTCTAAAGTCCTATAGGCTACTTAACGTGCGCCTATGGGACTTTATCCGGTCAATCGTGTTGCGGCTCCCATTGCGCGGTCTGCCCTAGCCTGAAGAGTATCTTACATCTCGGCCACAGTCAGTCGTAAGCTGAAATGGGGTACGGAGAAACGACCGGGGAGAGAGGGGGCACCCACCATGCGCAGGTCGATGACGTCCTGCAGCATGAAGACCACCCTGAGGGACACCTCTCGCTTCTTCACGATGCTGTCCATAGTGCGGAAGTAGTCGTCCAGCTGGGAGCGGGGGGGACCACCCTTACCTCCGGGCTGGTTGCACATTGGCACAGAAAACACCCAGAGTGGCCGCCACGAAGGGGTTGAACAGGGGGACGGTGCACAAGGGCAGGCAGGTGCAGAGGGGAAGGGGGAGGGCAGAACCAAAGAGTTAATGCAAGCAACAAACAGGCAAAGAACAAATTAGGCTAAGGCACGATAGAATTGAGACAAAAACCAAAGCATCCATTGTCCTAAACCCTTAACGAACCTTTCCATCTTTTAATAAAAAAAAAATAAATAAAAAGCCTTTCTTTTAGTGCAATGTTATACCAGTCTAAAATTCCTTAACGAACCACAGTACCAAATAAAAAAAGTACATGCTACAACAATCATTGAGAAACAATAAACAAAAAAATCTATGACATTAGGGAACTCTACAGTGTTACAAGCATGCCTCAAAACAGGTTCAAACAATACCCTATCTAACAGGGGGAAGGGGGGGGGGGGGGGGGGGGGAGGGTGCAAGAGGCGGACAGTTTGCAGTTGTATTGTTTCGCAGCAACCCCAGATCCAAAATGTCTTGTCTAGAGCCACAGACTGTTCCCAGTGATCGCATCTATCGTACCGGTGCGAGCCACGCACGTTCCCGACAAAGCTAACGGAACTGGGAGCGAGTGTTTCGTGCCAAGTAAATGTAAGCACAGTTTCCTTAGCCTAATGCCATTTTCAAGACTATGTTACAAAAATGCCTGGTTGCATCAAGGGCGACCAAAACGATTGCACTAACAAGGTAACCGGGACGAGTATTTTTTATAAAATATGAGGCAAGCCGTGCAAGAAGTAGCCGTATGAAGGAAGCACGAGTCGCAATTGTCCCGGTGTTCTCGTTGTTGCTTAGGTTGCCGTGGATGCAACTACCGTAGAATACCGTGCATCCGCCCATTCCACACTCAGCGCCCACCCCCAAATTTAAAACATCCGAAAAATATGCACACAACATATATATGTAAATTTGATGACCTCACGCGTGCCCATCCCCTAGTTTTTTGTGATTATCTTCAAATTTTGAATGGGCACTTGCTCAATATTTTACGGTAATGCAAATGTGCCAACCAGCTGCCCGACACGCCACGTCTCAACATTCTGCAAACACCCGGCAGCTCTAAAGACCCTCGATAAAACACACTCTTTGTAGCAGTGTGGGCCACCGGCCTCGCGCACTGGCACATTTGATGCCACTTGTAAAACCGACACAAGGACGTTGAGCGGGTTCAGCCGGCTCTGGTGTGGGCCTCCCCTAAGCGACCGAAGGAGCCCGGGCCACCGTCCGTAGGCAGAGGGGTGGCCTGCGAACGGCCGGCCCGGGAAAGGAGGCCGCGCTTTGCTCTTCCACGCCATGACTCGCCGTCCCCGACAGGGCAAGCGAGGACACCCCGTCGCAAGGCGGGCAAGACGCCCGCCCCGCCACCGGGGGCAACGCAGGGACGGATTATGGGGCGTGAGTGATGCCGGCAGTGCTCGACCAGACTCCGGGGAGATTGCCCGGTTACAGAAATTTCGGACGTCTACTCTACGGCACGAAATATGCCAATCCCTAAAGAGGGATTGGCGGCCCACCCCTCTTGCGCTCCACCGAGCTACCACGGGGAACGGCGCACCTGGCGTCCATACGTGTCTCCCCCACACATATGCCCCAGCCCTTTATACTGGGAGTTAGGCACTCTCTTCAAGATACCGACAGTCCAGTAACCACAGCTGGAAGCAAGGCACAACCGGGAGGCGGCATCTTGCCGCCGTCTTGCGTTATCAAATTTCGAACCCACTCTGAATTAGGCACTCAAGGTATGCTGTGATCCACCATCGTAATAAAAGTGTTTATCGCTACTGGATGTGTTTTTGGCACTGCACACATAGTCAGAAGCTCAAACTTACTTTTCTGCTATGATCTCTTAAAATTATACGAGCTTGAACTTCTTCCCCTTTTGTGAAATGTGGATTTTGAATACTTTGAATATTGGGTCTCAAAAATGAACACCACTAAAATTCAGCGCCGTGACGAGTGCCATCTAGGAGGCGCTGGGAAGCCTCGCACTCAATCGCCAGATTAATTTTTGTTTGGGAAAGCCTAATTTTGTTTAAAACCAAAAGAAATAAAGCTTATTTGTAAGTTATGTTTTTGGAGTTCAATAAAGGACGGCCAATGCTTGAACACAGAGACCAATTGCAGGCGTAACAAAATGTCACAGGGCAAGAAATTGTGTTTACAAAACAACTACTAACCACGCATTTGGACAAGTGCACGCGAGTGGCCAAAAGCAAATTTCCTTATTTTGCGTTATCATAAAGTCCGCTTGTTTTAGCGGGCGACCAAAATCAGCCAAACTCTTCCAGTATATACGGCTCTGACATATGCACATTCCACTGTGCTATAGCCACCACGTTATTAATGAGCACGGTTGCTCCTCGTTCGCACATAATGCCACAATAAAGGAGTCCTCCAACGCTTGCGCGTCGTGGCATTACTTTCGAGTGGTCGGAAAACCACTCTACGGGTGACTTCGCCTCGATACCCGCCCCATCCGGCCGGGGAAAAGGCAGACCGGAGAAGAACCTGGAGCAGAGGCCGCACCTGCGATCCCTTGGTGGTGGAAGTGGCGTCCAGCTCCTTGCCGATCGTGATGAGCAGCTTGCAGAGGCACTCTAGCGAGTCCTCGTCGTTGGAGTTGAGCAGTCGCCTCAGGCAGTCGTACATGATGGGTGCCGTCAGCATGTTCAAGTTGTACAGCTCCCCAATGAACCTGGGAAAGGGTCAAGCAAGCTCTTCTCCACACCGTTCCAAACTAGGATATGCACATGGCCCGCCGTTGCCCAGAAGTACTGGGACTACAAACAATAGACTGCACAACACAGCCACTGTACTCCCTCTGAGAGTATGATAAAAATCAATGTCTTTGAGCCTACCATTGCAAGCGCTGTAGTCGGACATTGGTCTGACTACAGTGCTAATTACACAACAGCTGCATGTGCCGGCCAGTAGGGAAAAAGCTCCAGCAGCCCAAGTTGGGATGACCGTCTGTCTGCTATTACACGACCTCTACCCACCAGGATCGTTAAAGCTTGTAGGGTCCCTCGGCGACAATCGCGTGCACGAGCGATGAAGGGTGCCGTATGCATGAGTGGGGGACACGTCCCGAGGCATCGTGCCCGGCCAAGTGACAAAACATCAGGTCTCCACCCACCTAATATTTCCTAGAGACCGTCTCTTGGACCTCTTCTCTTCTTCTGCCATTTCCTCCCTGAGCTTAGTCTTCTCCTCCTCCTGGAATCCGACAAAAAAAAAAAAAAAAAAAAAAAAAGACAGTGTGCCATTGAGACGACTTGGACAGTTAGAACACTTGTTGGCTCCGTTCACAGAGCTACCAGATTTTGCAAAATATGGGAAGATACATCTGAGTTCCAGCTGTCAATATCTGGTTGTGGTCGTGTCAAATGGCTAGCAACCGCAGTAGAGGAAATTCACGATCTACACGAGGCCGCTTATGTTTCTTTTCTCATAGACAGTCACCGATCTCCCACATCGGCAATAGAGAAAAGGCGGCACCGCAGACAGCCCGATTGCAACAACATCTTGGTCAGGCACCGAAACTCGTGCCTTGTCCAACTATTAAAGGGATACTGAAGCGAAACTTGAAATACACCTATTATGGTCAGAAATAGGTTCAATATGATCAATGATATCCATAAATCATAATCGCGCGTTTGTATTTTGAACGGATGGCTATATTTTTCACCCTGATGGGCCCGATTGGACGCGCGCTCAAAAATCGGCCATCGGAGAGCGCGATGCGTCTTGGGATATTGGGCGCATTCGTGACGTCACTTGTGCCAGTCGGGAAAGGCTACGGCGTGAATGTTGTGGTTACTAGCGTTGCCACTTGGTGGCGCGTCGACGATTTACGACCTGTGACAACGTGGCCGTTTGAGATGTGCAAGGGCTGCACGCACGCTGCACCACGGGACCACGGCAAGTCGGCAACCACGGCAGCACTGACAAAACCAGCTCTGAGGCCGGATTCTCAAAGCGAATTCACGACGAAAAAAGTGCGTACGACAAATTTGAGAGAAAACCAGTGCTCTCGAAACGAAATTGTCGTAACCTTTGCGCAGGTTACGACAGAATCCTACGACAGCTCCGAAGCTGTCTTACACACTTTCTACGATCAAATCAACAAGGCCGACAGCGTCGCTCAGTTACTTGGTATCGGCCACCAACGGACGTTTATTTTTCTTCGTGCTCTTCTCGTGCGTCCCGACTTCAACCAGCAAGAAAAAAGGAAGGAGTATTTAAAACAGACCACGACGATCAAGAACGCAGGATCCACAAACACACGAGAAGAGCTACAACAGCCACGATTCTGCCGACCGAGCGAGCTCGGCAGAATATAGTAGGCCTAGCAGCAACATCGACTCGGCGCACCGTTGCTCCGGCGGTCCTTGGCCAAGACCGTCTGTCCATGACCGGCTGGCCTGCTGAATGGAATATGCCCGCGCGACCCTTGTGGACCCTTACCGGATGAGTAGTTTGATCCCTGAACTAAATTTCGGAGGTCAATATTTTCCCCTTGTCATCTCGATCTCCTTGTTTTCCGAGACAGCGGTGACGAACGCTGTCGTCGAAAAGGGACTCTCATTGATTGTATCTCCTTGTTTTGTGTGATATAGAGCTCAAATAAACGCCATACGGATTACCTTGACAACTCGGTATGTACACTCTGTTATTAGTATGCCATTTTTATTCTGACTCGACGCTACGTCAGTGTCGAGCTATAGCAGTTCGTGGGAGCTACGCGATGTCGGTCTAACCTTTCTTTGCCGAGTGTCATGTCAGTATCGAGTTGCAATCGTAAAAGATCGGTCCAGAAGCGCTTACCGAAACGCGGTCTAACAGAGCGAATCCAGCACTTCGATCAAACGCGCGTGTCCGCTCCGAGTGTGAACATGTATTTGGCATTTGCGTGGCTCTTGCTGACACCCTCGTAGTTCAAACATATCCTTTTTAACGTCGGCTTCCAGCTCGCGACTCGCAGCAACTAACACCGGCCGTGCCAGAAGCATGCTCGGGCCGTGTCGTGCAAAGAATCGCAACGAGAACGAGCTCACTGTGGCCAACTACGCTTTGGCTTTCTCCGCCAAGGCTTTGCAAACGCGTTCAGGCCTAGGCGAATTCTGCCGGCACGCCGTATTGCCGCAGAACGGCGCTGCTATTTTGGCACAAGTGATGTCACGAGAACTTCCCCCCATCCACCAGATGAGAATTTGAAATCGTTTAATTATGTTTAAAATTAGTTCTCCTGTGTTTTACAGCGCAATATTTATGTTTCCGAGGTGGTGCCTGTCCCTAGCCCATATTTATGCAACAAGATCGGCGCTAAAATTTCGTTTCACTACCCCTTTAAGTGCTGGAACGTTGCCTGCCGCTCATAGAACAAGCGCCCACAATGTTAAGCACCATTTAATGCTTCAAACAATTAACTGAATGCTCAACCTTTGAGCCACATAATTCGCTAGCGTGACAGCAGTCTTAATTTATACAGATTTTTAAAAATTAGCAGCAATAAAGAAGGAGAGAAAAGAATGAAAATGGCAGGGCGTGTCTTTCAAACACCGTGCCTTCCAGCGTGCTTTCGCCCTGCGTGCGAGTTCGAGGTGCACAAGACGCCAAAACGTCGTCCCTCCTCCAGCGCGAGCTTTCTACCTTCAACAACTGGAAGCCCGGCCCTTCCTGCCGTCCTTACCTCGTCAACAGCTATAGTACTTGCATGCTCTGCACCAACGTTTTTGCTTCTTATCGGCTACGTCGACACAAAAGAATGCACCAACTTCAGGCAAGGGACAGACAGAGGGAGAAAAATGAACGGGGTGCACACTCACGGTGGTGGCCTCCTCGATCTTCTTGCGCTGCTCTGCCTTGCGGATGTCTTCGCCCTTGTCCTTCTCAAACTCCTTCTGGCACTTGAGCAGCAGCAACTTGCGGAAGTTCACCTTCTCCGATTCGTTGCTGCTCATGGGCACCTCAAACTGCACAGCACCGACAGAGAAGCCATAGATAAACCGCACCGTACGCGATGCGCCGGCAGCACCGCCAAGAACTGTACGACGCAGAGCGCTTCGAAAGTAAACACTCGATCGGTGTTCGAGCGATGCTGGCAGCTCTCGAAAGCCACGTCAGTCTCTGTGCTTGTAACGAGATGAAGCCCGATGCCCAACTTTTATTCCTAATTGGCATGTAACCAAGCAACTGCCTTGTGGCATAGCTGGAAGCACATAGACGCCTGTCTGTCTGCTTAACGTCACATTGTTAGGAAGTGTACACATGAGGGCACCAATGCCTCCTGTATTGTGCATCAAGAAAAGACATGCTTTGAAAACAAAATACAGATCCCTCTCCTTTGCACCACGCTAAAAATTTAATTTAGAAACCCAGAACACGACTGATCTGTCTCAAAGACCAACCTCATTCAAACATATTGTATGCCGACTTCCAACACGCTGCAATTAAGAGCCGAAATGACTCCTAGTGTAAGTAGGTGAGATGAGGTCAGAGTTCTACACTCAAGCAAAGGAGCAAGTCTAAGTTGAACAAAGAAATGCAAATAAGCAAACTCGCAATCGAGGGAGGAACGCAACGGTGAAGCAAGCTTGCACCAACAGAGGCGTGACACAGCGACACACCACTTACCATGGCCAGCTGCTTGCACATGTTCGCGTAGGGTACACTGAAGTTCGGCTCGTCCAGCGCCTTCTCGAAGACGAGGTCGATGACCCGGTTTAGTCGCTCCTCAGAGTTGATCTGCAGGTTCTTCACCTGCTCCACCAGTGACTGGAACTTCTGCGGGGTCAGCTTGTTCAGGATGCCTCGCACACGCCGGTACAACTCCTGCAGAATGACAGAGAAAGAGAGAGATGAGACTGAGAGAAACAAGTGCACAGCCTGCGGTAAAAAGTTGCCGACAGTCAAGCTACAACTGCCGCGCAGTGGAAACATTGTGCAGAATATCGTTCTGGAGGCACAGAAACTAAAGAAGGAATGAGATGCACCCAGATACTCTTAACCATCCTTACCGTGAGTGAAGTGTTTTCCCAGTTAAGCTGAATTTTAGCATCTTGAAGCCACAGATTGATAGAGATCTACAAGCAAAACACACCTGCCCAAATGCCCAAATATTTTAAGGGGGTAAGGGCTCTTCGATTATTGCTCGAAGCAAACAGGTATTCTTCGAGACAGAGTTTCAACAGCACCCGGTTTACATGATCAGGGCTCAAAAGCGTTTCAGCTGGGGAAATACACCAGCAAGGTTCCACCATGCTCGTTCAATGAAAGAGCAGCTCGGTTGAGGGGCGACACAAAAACCGCATTTAACAAAGCATGTTCAAGAGTTGCCGAACAATACTGCAGCACATTTCTCTGAAAACTAGAGACCTCCAACTAGCGTGACCGAGAAGAAGGTGAGCGTCCTCACCTCAGCCTCGGCGACCTCTGCGGCCGCCTCCCCGGGCGTCTTGTGAGTGGGCTTCCAGGCGTTCTGGGCCGCGTGCAGCTTCACGTCCTGGTTCAGGGAGCTCGACAGGGTGATCACCTTCTTCGGCTTGTCCCCTCCCCGGCCGGGCTGGCTCTGCCGGCGGCCCACCCCTCCACCCCCGCCGGGGGGTGGCCGGGCCACGCCGTTCCGGGCATAGGGCGGCATGAAGAGGTGCTCGGGGTGGGCGCCGCGCCCGCCCATAGGCCCGCCACCCCCCATCTGGGGAGGACCGCCTGGGGGATACTGCGGGCGCTGCACCTCGGGGAGCTTGTGCTGCATCGCCTGTGAGGGACCCACACAACATTCGTCAAGCAAAGCACCATCGGCGTAACCAGCCGGTAATTCATTTATTTGCTATTTTTCTCATTCGTTTCAGGCTGCCGTCGGGGTACCCTGCATGTGAAACCGTAACCAAACACTAGCACTCTCGCATTATTAAGATGCTCAAGAAACCAGCATGACTCAACACTGAGAAGCAAACCGCGTGAATCTGTCGGACCTCCGCGGGGTAAGGGTTACACGACACCAAGGGTCACTCTTGCGCCCCAAGAAAGCGCACACCTTCTTGTTCGTCTACAGCAAGACCCGTATGGCTACGGTCACAACACATTGTACAAAAGACGATCTGCAGACACTGCCCGAGGAGTGTTGCTTCCTTGTACAGCCATGCCGTGACATTCATTGTCTGCAGACGAGTTAAAAAACGCGCTTCGAATGACTTTAATACAAATCTGCAGTGAACACTCTCTTTTGTACGTTGTATGCACAGCGTGAGTATGGCTCAACACAGCCGTACCATGTTAGGGCTGCAACCTCAGTTAACCCCTCAGCTTCCCACCCGCAAACACCCGGTCAAATCAGGGGAGAAAGCCCCACCACGCACCGTGTCCTTGATGACGTCCAGGTTGGGCAGTCCGAAGGGCTTCTTGAGCGACATGGGCTCCCCCTGGAGCATGATGAGGAAGGAGCGGTCATACTGCTTGCGCCCTTCCGGGTTCAGCGGACTCCACTGGTCCTCCTTGTAGTTGTACTTGAGCCTCTGGGCAGGGGTGCCCCCATCCCCAGACTCCTCCTCCTCCTCCTCCTCCTCTTCTTCCTCCTCCTCCTCCACACCCTCTTCCTCCTCCCCCTCCTCCTCTTTCCGGGGAGAGGGGGAGACGAGCACGGGTTCCTCGGCCTTCTCCACAATCTCCGTGGCGGCCATCTCTTGGGACACCCTGAGGTTCTCCTCGTTCTGGATGATCACCAGCTGTAGACAGAGCAGTTGAGAGTTCGAGAGATCAACCCACACCGGAGAGAAAGAGAAAAGTGCACTGACTAGAAACCCCCTCACAACCTTTTTGTTCCTTTCTCCAAACGTCCTGTTTCTTATGTTTATCGCGCACACAGTTCTTTACTGTCCACAAGTGAGAGCACAGACTCGCTTGTCAGTCAGCATGACAGGTGGACCCCAGTGCAACCCACTTAGGCCTCTCCCGTGGGTGCGTTACAAGCTTTCTTCGTCATTTGATGCAGCATCTACAAAGCCCAATGCTCGCGGTCAAGAGGAGGGCACAATTCTCGAGACTTTTAGGGTGCACAAAGCGGCAAGTCCCAAACCACATCGCAAGAGGGTCTCGCAGTCGACAAATGACAAAAAGATCGGCTCCGTCTCCGCTCAATCACCAGCACCTTCGACAGTCGTCGGTCAAGACAAAAACTAAAGAGAGACTTAACGAACACGACGACCCAGATTGCCCTTATCTCCACAACTGCACACAACTAAGCAGTGGTAATGCAGTACATCTCCGTCAGACTCAAACGTTTGAAACTGCCTCCGGAGCCCGCAGTCAACCAGACCACAAAGCAGATTTGGCAACCCACCTTGCGGTGCACCTCATCTTCGCCAGCGGCGGGGTCTGCCTGCTCAGGTGTGACGACGACCGGGGGGACCACGGGGACCGGGGTCGGGGCTGGGGCTGGGGCTGCCTCGGGTGCCGGCTGCGGGGACGGGCTGGCCCGCTGTGGGGCCGCCGGGGGAGTGGGACTGGGCGTCCTCAGAGGAGCCGAGGGCACCGCTTCCGTCGGTTCGGTAGGCGTGCTGGCCGCCGAAGCGGTGCTGGCTGGTGCCGCCGGCTGGGGAGGAAGGCCTTCTTAAGTGGGGCAAAGACACAGGCTCAAACCTGCAACTCTCTTAAGCAATCCGCAAATAGCCTTCCATAGTGAAAGCACCCTAGTGCCTTGGCTGTGATATTTCCCGTGGCCTTCACTCCACACAGGCGAGCAAAGTTCAGCCCGAGCATGAGGGAACATAGGCTTATTTGAAGCAGTAACTTGATCTTTGTTTATCTACTGCAAAACCTTGACAGCTCCATAAAAATGGGTCTTGGAAAAGAAACAGTGTACCTTCATACTGCAACTGAGACCTACAATTCGATTACCCTACCAACACAGTACTGTGCTGTATGATGCGTTTCGATCACAGCATTCAGTGGTACAACTAGCATAGCTTTGTGCAAGTGAACTGATCATTTCAAACAAACTTTTCTAGGATAAGAAAACCTTTACTGCTCTACAATAACACAGGTAAGTTGATTTTCAGAATGAATACCAGTGGGTATTCCCCACGTGCATGCCTACCCTCCCCAGGGAGCCGGCAAGCTCACCTCTTCCCGGTCGACAAAGGCATCCATGTCACCCCCCTCCTTGTTCTCCCCCTTCTTGTTCCACTCCTTCATCTTCTTCTTTTTGATTGACTTCTTGGACTCCCTCCCTGCACAAAACAGAAGACACACCTTGAAGGGACAGCGTGAAGACCACGCCACAGCATTTCCCCCTTAGATACCGCCACACCGAAAGCAAAGTCTAGCGTATCCGAGCCTGCTGTTCTATTAAGACTGGCACGTAAAGGCCCGTTCACACTCTTGCGACCGAGTACGACTGAGAGAGACGAGATCTCTTACAACTTTTTAAATGTTTCTAGAATGAGGGAACACACTGACATTGTGGCGCCATCTATGTGGTGACCCTAGAACTGCATTTCACAAAAGCGAAGGTTTTGCGGGATTTCAGAGGTCAAATGTGCATAATACCCATAGAAAGGCTCGTTTATAACATTGACAAAAGTTTTTCGAGCCAAAAAAGAAAGGATATCGCGCGAGAAATAAAAAAAAATATGCCGGACCGCCGAGTTTACACTGCTTCCCAATAGATGGCGCCAGTGTGTTCTCTGGTTTAAGAAGTTTTAAGGAACCCAGGTTTAAGAGGTCGCAAGCAGTCGCAAGAGTGTGAACGGGTGAATAACCTCGACGACGAAAACTAAAACAAACGGCTTTGTTATCTGAAACACTGTGTAAAGCATATACTAGAGTTTACAATAAACAAAATCACGGCTGCCATAGGAGTATGACAGAGAAAAAGCTTTAGAGGAATTTAAGCAACGCAAACAAACTTCATTGTTGATAGAAAAGATTCCCGAAGGTAGCTAGTTCCCACGAAACAGGATGTCTGCGACATTTCATCCATCACTTTTTCTAGCAAGAGACATTTTATTGTGATGCCACTAAGAAGTAAATAAATGTGCAAACCCAATACTTTAAGAATGCTGGCACTTTGTAAACATTAAATTCTGTGCAGTGGCAATATTTTTACTTTTTCAGTAGGTACAGAGAGCTACCCCTAGGCAGAATTTGCAATAACCACATTCTGGCATTTGTCCCGATACAAGTTGGTGTCTGAATGGTGCTAAAGTTGCTACATAGGAAATGCAGGGAAAATGCTGACAGACAGTCTAAGCATTTATGCCAACAGTTACCTTCATATTCACAGTTAACTTGGCTCTGGTTGCATGCAGAGGCAGTACAACTGTGAATAAACCTAAAGAGTATCATGTCTACCTCTCCCGATAAAATTCTCCCCGTAATTGTATTTGTATGCGTCAAAAACTCACAATTTTCTGGCCAATAGGCAAAAACAGCACAGGACTGGAGTCATCTGATATATAAGGTTCTCACAAAACTTGGCGAGCCTCTACCTCGATGTTACACGAATAAAAGCAAGTCAAACAAATCAAATAAAACCACAGCGCTGTGTGTGAAGGAAGTGAGAAAATAACTTTAGAAAAGCTCCACGGACATGGGAAAGGTCATAAACAAAAATGCTGCCACAGAAACTTTAGAAAAATTAGAGCTCTATTGAAACCCCCAACAGGCACGGGCGGCAGTCATTAAATTTTGAGCTCAATTTTCCGAGTCTTCAAAATCAAACTTGCGTGAAACAACTGATGTGTGTCTGTTGAAGGCCCCATTTTAACACGGTCACGCTCAAAATGGGAGCGCTGAAAAATAACCTCAAGTCCTCAGCTGCCAAAAGAACATTCTAGAAACTCGACTTGTGAACAAAATAAGAGCAATAACTCTTCTGCAACCAAATGCTTCAGCCATTAGACTGGCAGGGTAACCCGATGCACCAAAAATAAAGAAAGGGGTTAGGGTTACTTCAGTGTAGTGTTTCACGGTCCTCATGTCCAGCGTCAGAAAGACTTAGATGTTGATATGAAATGTAACCCCCAAACAGGAATGGGCAGCATTTCAGATACAAGGATTCGAAATATGTATTTAAAATTCTTCCGAGTATTTTGTATTTCCTATTTCATTACATATTGGGCAATGTAGTCATCAACTGTATTTAAATACACAAGATTGAACATTACAGATAAATTTCAAATACAGCCCCAAATACAATTTTGGGCACTGCTCTTCATAAGCAAATGTGACAGCAGACTGACTGTCTTCGCAAAGGGAGTCATATGCAAAGAGCTTGAAACATGCTGCACTTAGTGCAGATTAAACATTGAAGAAAAAAGGAAGAGTAAAACAAGGAATTAATGAGACGAATACAAAAATTGCCTTTTTGGTAGGATGATTCAATGTTTTAAACACTACAAATTAACATGTTTCAAAAAAGGCTGTGATGCACCAACTCAGCCTTTTAACTTTATCTTAAACTGAATACATTGCTTTTCCTTATGTTGTAACTGCCTATGAAGTTAAGAAATTTTATCTTTACAGCTGCAACAGTCTTTCAAGGCCACTTAATTCTTAGTATATATAAACTTCACTCTTTATTTGGGCATGATCTTTTCTACCGGGGTGAAATTGAAGTCTAAGATCCCCCTCTTTGACAATGAAATGTTTGAAAAAGCACTCGAAGATTATCCAATAGGCTCAATGTATCAGTATCCTCTATCGAAATACTTTTCTTCAAAGTGTAACGAATCTGTCATTAAATACAATTCTGTCAGTACTTTGTAATCATATTTTTGCGAGTATTTTGCCCATCCCTGCCCCCAAACTAGGACACTATGCTAGTCACGTGAATAAAAATAAAACAAAAATCGCAAAAATGTTAACCAAAAAGGCCCCCCCCCCCCAAAAAAAAGGGGGGTGGGGGGAAGGTATGCGCAAGGGGACCAACCGAAAAAAAGTTCCGTCAACTTTAAAAATAAAACGCAGAGAAAAAAAAACAAATGAAGGGGGGACACGAGAGTATCCGCTCCTCCTCACCTGACTGAGGTGCGCAACGTGACGAAGACGACGACCCTCCGTTGGTCGTCACCGTCGCCACGCGACTGGCCCGAAGACTAGCCATCCCCGAGTCACCGACCTTTACATTCTCGCCTTTTTCACTTTCTTTGCTCTCCCCCCTTCCAACTTTTCTTTTTTTAAAAACCCCAAGCTCCGGCTCCCAAGCAAGCACCCCCTACACTCCGAAAACGTCCCGGACGGAAGAAGGCTCCGGACAACCGCAGCACCACCGCACGACGACGACGAAGAAAAAAGAAAAAAAAGCACAATCCGAGAAGCGCCGATCGGATTCCTCACTCCACGTCGTTCGGGATTCCACACATGGGTAGACAGCACACCAGACGATCAACGTGGTCCGGGGGGGCACACGCAACACCCAAAGGACCCGCGGCAGGCAGGTGTAGGCCTTCGGCGGCGACGGCACCAGCTTTCGTCGTCGTCGACCCCTCACGCGGCGGCGGAGGAAGGGAGAGGCGCATCATGGCGGTTTGTCCGTCTCCCCCCGTTCATTCGCTTCCTTATCTTTTCTTAGTTGGCAGCAGCGTCGGACTCTTGCGAGACGGCAAAAGCTCGGAGGCCGCGCTACAAATATAGCGCACCACTCCGTCTCACCGGGCGAAGAACAGCGTCGGGAAGAGGAACCAACCACGCCGGCAGAAACACCCCGCATCTTCCACTCCCTCTCCCCCCCCCCCCCCCCCCCCCCCCCTGCCACCCTTTATTTTTCTTTTCTGTTACGTACTAGGACCTTCTGTCTCGTCTCTGCGCTCCACATTCTCCCTTTATTTCGAGTTTCGTTGGTATTTATTCTTATACGGCGCGTACGCGTGGCTTCTCTGTGACCCTTCTCTCTCTCTCGCCCCCCCCCCCCCCCCCTCTCAACATAAAAAAAAAAAAAGCAAGCCGCTCGAGATGAGAAAGACGGAATTTGTCTTTCTTATTTTGCCCCGTACCCGGGAGTGCCTAAACACAAGCCAGACCGAACTGTGGACTGCCTTCAGTAACCTACCGAAAGCAAAACGATCGGCAGGCTCTGATACGTCACGAGCCATATTCGGACGACAAAGGTCGTAATCCGTCGTATTCCCGAATTTGGAGGGATGAAGAGCGGTTCGTTAGGGGCGATGTGGTGCGGTGTGCATCTATCCTCTTTTTTTTACGTGTCTGCCTTCTGTCGTGCCCCAGGTTTAGTAACTTTAATCGATTAATATACAGGCACGACTGCGTACCTGTGTAGCAAACATCTGCTATCTTGTTCGATGTAAGTAATCCAATGACGTCCATACGTCGACCGCGAATGTATACATCGCTCCACGCGCACGTCATTTTTATGAGTGAAACAACCCATAAAATTAAACAGCTTCACGCAATCGGCAACCATCCAGCTGGAGTGGTTAGCAGACGGAGAAGCTAACCCCATCCAAGTCCTTGAAAAAAGAAAAAAGAAAAAAGCGAGGTGTTAAGAGGTTGCCTAACAACTGCTACCAAACGGGAAAAGCTGGTAGTCGTATACACACGTTAGCAGACGACCAAAAAAAAAAAAAAAAAGGATGCGAACGTTTGCAGACGGCACACCCAACAGAGACTGCGTAGACAGCAAGCGGGCGGACTTTTTCCTCGCTGCCCACCACGCCGCTCTTCCGAGTATCGAATAGCACTATTATTCCAAACCAAGACGACGTGCCGCTACACAGAATCACGTCACGCTTGCGACGAGCAAAGGAAAAGGTCTTCGCTCGCTTTCGACGGCACAGAACTCCAAAAATGGAAGATCACGAAAACGACGCACCATTCCGAGAGAGACCGCAAGATCGACGACGGGACGGCTAAAAGCACGGGCCTGGTTGGTCGCTCCTTCGCACTTCCTTCTACTTCGAGCCGCTTCCGACGAAGAAACTCCGTCGACCACGAGTCTCGATACCACCGGACGGCAGGCAACGCCGAGCAAAGCGACTCGTCCGACTCCCGAACACCGGGTCGGAAACAGACACGGGGCAGCTCCAAAAGCAGACGACGGCCATCCTCGGGGTGCCCACACAGAACCAAAGTTCGTTTTCGCTTTCAAAATCGAACGATCACGCAGGGCCGTTTTTCCTTCAGAGCCGCCCAATTAAGAAAACGGCAGAATCTAGGCCGACGGCTGCCTTCCACGAGGCAAGCAAATTGCCCAGCCTCTCCAAACTCGGGA